CCTCATTTTGTTTCTCTACGGCTTCCGCGGTTTGGACTATTTGAATCCCCAAGTTCTGGACATGAGAGGAGAGAGATCCAAACTTGCTGCAAATATCAGTGAAGACACGATCTAGCTTCTCATAGAGGCTCTGGGTGGTTTGCCTTTGCTCCTCCATATATCTTTCCAAGACCACATCTAACTTCTCTTCTTGTTGAGCCGGTGCAACAGCTTGAGGGAAAGTGAAGGGCTGCTCCACCTGATAGATTCCCTTAGGATAGACTTGTTTCTTAGGCTGGTATTGAGCTCCTTGATAGACGTTCTGGCCAGGATACACGAAGTTTTCACCAATGTAGTTCACTTCCTCTTGATGCCGCCTAACCGGTGGGGGCATTGCATAAAAGCTCATCAAGTCCATTCTTTCTCTCCTTTGTCTCCTTGTTTTGAGTTGGATCTTCTTGTGATGCACCTGAAAACAAAAGAAAGAGAAGATAAACAAGTAAGCAAATTTTTATGATTTTTTTTTTTTTGAAAAACAGAAAAGTAAATTGCAAGAAAACAAGAACTAGACTAGAATTCAATCAAAAAAGCTTGAAGGAAATGAAACAATCTCCCCGGCAACGGCGCCAAAAACTTGATGGAGGCTGGGTTTAGCTTCCTCAAATGATAATATTTTTAACCCAACCAATGTAGCTGCAAGTGCACAGCAAGAGCAGTAGTATAGTCGGGGTCGAACCACAGGGAGATGTGATTTCACTTCAAACCTACAAAGATTGAAAATCAAGCTAGAACAAAATATGAGAGGTTGTGAGTAGCAAAGCAAAAGAGAACAAAGCAGTGATTAGAATGAGGTGTAAACAATAAGGGAAAGTACTAGGCATTAGGCAAATCGCAAAGCATCACAAATTATCAACAAACAATCAAGTGAAGGGATTCATTATCATTCTTGAACTCAAATCACTAAGGTATAGTCTTTCCACTTTCGTGGCTCCAACCACTATGTTTAAACAACCTAATAGACTCAGCTTTCGTTGGTTATTACAAGTTGTAAACATGCATTACAAGGTTCAAGATTCAATTGTTCACAATAGTCCATAACTCAACTTTCGTTGGCCATGACCTATTGCTCACCAAATACTAGTTCCGGCAATATAGCAAGCTTTTGGAGAGTATATTAACCCAAGATCCGATGCTAGATGATCAGAAAAGCAAACGGCATTATGCTCAAGTAAAGGTGAAGAACTCAAAATATAATCCCAACTCACAAGATCAAAAGATTAAAGTTGACAATTCATGAACTCATTGATTTACCATTAGCCTAGCAAAGGATCTACTCAGCCATGATGCAAACAACACAACAAGTTATGATTGAAAGCATTATGAAAGTATTAAAAGAGGTAAAGGGATGAAGAAAGCTTCTCTATTGATGAACAAAGTCGGATTCTCCCTTGAAACTCTTAGATCCAATACAAAAGAATGAGAAGAAAAGAAAACAAAGGTTGTATGTTGTGCTAAGGGTCTTGAACGGCGCCTCCTTTCTCTTCCTCTGGACGGCGCAGCTTCTTCTGGCTTCTCTCTCTGACGGCCAACCCTAGAAACCCTCGACTCTCCTTTGTTTTGAGGCTAAAAACATGTATTTATAGGTTGTAGGTCGGTTAGGGCATTGAAGTGCCGGAAAAGGAAAGTTTCCCATGAGCCGGGCCTCTTCTCTCACGTCGTGTATGGGCTGGCATTGACACCAAGGAAGCCTCCAAACATTAGCTAGGACTCTCCCTTGTTGACCAAGGCCTTGGGCGCGGTTTATCGGGCCTTTAGACACTCCAAATCCTCCATGGGCTCCGTTTGCTCGCTAACCGGACATGTCTCGGTAGAAAATAAGTTCCGGCCCGATGGTGGATCCAAATGACTTCATTCCACTTCTACGTGATGCATGACTCAAGTATCTATCTTTCCATATCAAGATCGTGACTTTTGGACGTCGGGAACTCCTCCGTTCGCGGCCAAACTTCCGAAGCTTCGTTCCTGCTCGATAGCGAGAATTGTCACTTGGAGATAAAATGATGCTCTTGACTTGGAAACTTGCATGGATCATGGTTTGAGGCTCTTTTGCTCCTTTTTCCATCCTTTTTGATAGTTTACCCTGTTAAGACTCCAAAACCAACAAATACAAGAAAACTACCTCCAAAGGCATAAAACCTTTATGAAAGTACTTAAAAACATATGAAAATACTAAGTGAAAACATGCAAAATATGGATATATCACTAACCTCTGCATAAATTTAAAGCGTGAATTCTTTATCAAGGGGACATCGATCAATTGAACTTGTTCTTACCCACTTGATCCTCTCCAAGATTGCCTCTTTAAGTGCAATGAGTTCTTTTCCTCTCTCTTTCTCACATCAGAACTTTGAAAGGTCAATTTCTCCCTACTTTTCTAGGGTATCATTTTATTTTTTCTATTGACCCTTCTTTCAACCACAGGATAAGTCTTTAGCTTGTTCCTTGTTTGACTAAGGTATTCCATAAGACATGAAGGTACAGACATATGCATTCCTCATGCTTACTTGTTTTCCTTGTGCTCTTTGAGCTTTTTCTCATAAACATTACTTACCATTTGGGATGGGAGAGAGAGGAGAACTCTTTAAAGATTAGACAAATCTTATTGAAAATCAAGCAAGGAACTGTCGACATGTATGCCAACCCCCTTGACAAGAGTAATTAAGATTGATTAAGGGTGAGGTTAACTCTAGATTGCTTGGTTACCTTAGAAATTTTGCTGAGCTAGCATGTCGATCCACTGTAAGAGCTTCTGTTAGGCTTGTGCCTTTAGCTGGTTTCTGCTCTAGGGTCATGGATTGTTAGCACAACACTCTCAATTCTCAAAGCAAGTTCATAACTTCCGGACTGGTTTTTGACTCAATAAAACTTTTTGAAAAACATGAAACAAAGTGAATAAAACATAAGAAAAGAAAGAAAAATGCATTAGTAACACAATAAAACTCCCCCCAGACTTAACTTGCACCGTCCCGGTGAAAGCAAATCACATTAAGGTGAGAGGTAATATTCAAAAAAAAAAAAATTAAAGAAAGAAAATGAAAAGAAATGACCTTCAATGGGTTGCCTCCCATTCAGCGCTTTGTTTAAAGTCATTAGCTTGACTGTATGGCACTTCCTTAAGGATCTGGTGGATCGCCAAGAGCCAGTGTGGTCTCCTGTGGTATGTGGTGGAAGCTAGGTAGGGTTTTAACCTTTGTCCATTGACTGTAAAGTCTCCTCCCATTGGGTCCCATAGTACCACTGCTCCATAGGGGCGAACTTCTTTAATCCTGAATGGTCCTGACCATCTTGAGCGAAGCTTTCCTGGAAAGAGTTTCAACCTTGAGTTGAATAGTAGAACTTGGTCGTTTGGCGCAAAGTTCTTTGGGATGATCTTGCGGTCATGGAAAGCTTTGGTTCTCTCCTTATAGATCTTTGAATTCTCATAAGCCAGATGCCTAATCTCATCAAGCTCATTCAGCTGAATCAATCTTCTTTCTCCTGCTGTCTTTAGGTTGAAGTTCAACTCCTTAATAGCCCAAGCTGCTTTGTACTCCAGCTCTACAGGTAAATGACATGCTTTACCATAGACAAGATGAAAGGGGGTGGTACCAAGTGGTGTTTTGAAAGCAGTGCGATATGCCCATAGAGCATCATCTAGTTTGGCACTCCAATCCTTCTTGTCTTCCTGTTGTCTTCTGAAGTATGCTCTTGAGTTCTCTGTTTGAGATCTCAACTTGTCCACTAGTTTGGGGGTGGTAAGGAGAGGCAACTTTGTGAGTAACTCCATGCTTCTTCAAAAGGTTGGCAAAGATTCTGTTTATGAAATGTGAACCTCCATCACTTATGACTATCCTAGGCACTCCAAACCTTGGAAAAATGATGGATTTAAACATCTTGATGACCACTTGTGCGTCATTAGTAGGGCTGGCAATGGCTTCCACCCATTTGGAGACATAATCAACTGCCACTAGAATGTATTGGTCACCAAAAGAGGTTGGGAAGGGTCCCATAAAGTCAATGCCCCAAACATCAAAAACTTCAACTTCTAGTATAAAGTTCTGTGGCATCTCATTCCTCTTGCTTATATTTCCCATTCTTTGGCAAGCATCACATCTTGATATGAATGCATGAGCATCCTTAAACATTGTTGGCCACCAAAATCCAGCTTGTAGACCTTGGATACTGTCTTGTAAGTGGCAAAGTGCCTGCATAGCTAGAACTATGACAAGCAAACAATATTCCTTCTACCTCTTCCTCAGGTATGCATCTTCTAAACATTCCATCTGAACATTTCTTGTATAAGTAAGGTTCATCCCAGTAGTACCTTCTTACATCACGCAGAAACTTCTTCTTTCTGTAGCCAAAGAAGTTTGGTGGTGGGTATTCAGCTGCAAGGAAGTTTGCTATGTGGCGAAACCATGGTGTGTTTGATGATGAGATCTTTGTTCCTGGCCTGTGATGGCTAGTTGTCCATGCTTATTGCTAGCTTCAGCTGCATAAACTGATTCTTCAGGTAGCCTATCATCAAGAGGTAGATTTTCTTCAACTCTCATCCTTGAAAGGTGATCAGCTACTCCATTATCTGCTCCTCTTCTATCCTTGATCTCAAGATCAAATTCTTGCAATAGTAGTATCCATCTCAGCAATCTTGGCTTGGCATCTTTCTTGGATAAGAGATACCTTAATGCTGCATGATCAGAATGAACTATAACTTTTGATCCCACCAAGTATGATCGAAATTTCTCAAATGCAAAGACAATAGCAAGAAGCTCCTTTTCTGTTGTGGCATACTTGCATTGTGCCTCATCAAGTGTTCTGCTGGCATAATAGATCACATGTAGCTTCTTGTCTTTTCTTTGCCCAAGTACTGCTCCTACTGCATAATCACTTGCATCACACATTATCTCAAAAGGTAGTTCCCAGTTTGGAGGTTGAACCACTGGCGCACTGACCAATGCATCTTTGATCTTAGTGAAAGCCTTGTGACACTCCTCTGTGAACTCAAAGTTAAATCCTTGCATAAAGGCGTGTTAGCGGCCTTGCTATCTGTGAGAAATCTTTAATGAACCTCCTGTAGAACCAGCATGTCCTAGGAAGCTTCTGATATCTTTAACTGTCTTGGGCGGCTGAAGGTTTGTCATTACTTCAATCTTGGCTTTGTCAACTTCTATGCCTCTCTCTGAGATTCTATGTCCAAGCACTATTCCATCTCTAACCATAAAGTGGCACTTCTCCCAATTTAGAACTAGATGCTTGTCTTCACATCTCTGTAGCACTCTTCCAAGATTTCCCAAACATGATTCAAAGGAAGAACCATATACTGAGAAATCATCCATGAAAACCTCCATAATCTCTTCTATTAGGATCTGTGAATATGGACATCATACACCTTTGGAATGTAGCTGGAGCATTGCACAATCCAAAAGGCATTCTCCTATAAGCATATGTGCCATAGGGACAAGTGAATGTAGTCTTCTCCTGATCATCTGGGTGGATTGGAATTTGGAAAAATCCTGAGTATCCATCCAAGAAACAGTAGTATTGATGATTGGCAAGGCGCTCAAGCATCTGGTCTATGAATGGCAAGGGGTAGTGGTCCTTGCGCGTGGAGGAGTTCAGCTTTCCTGTAGTCGACACACATTCTGTGTCCATTGATTGTCCTTGTTGGAATGAGCTCATCATGTTCATTCTTGATGACTGTGATCCCTCCTTTCTTTGGCACGACATGTACAGGGCTGACTGATATACCTCTATTTTACCTACTTTTTATGCTATTTTACTATGGTTTTCTAATGGTTTTCTAGTGGATTCTTGTGTTAAAAGGTAGTTTTTATGGATTTATAGTGCAAAGAGTCATTTTAGGTAAAAAGGTGCATTATGGAGCAAAACAGGAGATTTGGACTCTAAACCAGTTCAATGCCCCTGCATCAACTTTGGATGGAGCTAGAAAAAGATCTACTCAATGGATTTCATCAAGACCAGTTCCCTGCGTGCTCTGATTGAGTTAACTTTCCAACGCAAGTGGAACGGCCTCATTTGGATGAGTAGAAAAGGAGTTATAGCCAAAAGAGTGAAGGCTGCTCCAGACGGCCATATCGAGAATCAGCGCCCGAACGCGCAGTCCGGCTGGCCGAGGAACGAATGTTCCGCGCTCGGCCAAAACCGTATTCCGTCCGACTGAAGTCTCGGCCAAAGTCCAAACCATCGGCCGATCACGCATCACGACCCGGGAAACAAGCCCGCGGTCGGCCAAGCAAGCGTCACGCCACGCCGCGCACGACCAAGCGCGCGAGCCGGGAAACAAAGCCTCGCGGCCGCGCAACCCGTTCCGCGTACCACGGCCGATGCATCCGTCCGAGCCGGGAAGACGCCCACGTCCGGCCGAGAAACCATCGGCCAAATCTCACCGTCCGACCAAGCCGGCCGACCGTGAAATCATCCGGCCCCGACCGTTCCGACTCGCCAAAGACCCGACTGTCCGGCCGACCGTCCCGCACGACCGTCCGAACGCCGCGGTCGACCCGAAGCCGTTTTTGAAGCCCAATCCGCACAATTCAAGCCCAAAGCCGGCGCCGACCTAGCTAGATTAGGTTTAGCCGTCTTCTTATACTTAGAGCATTATAAATACTTCTTTTTAGCCTTGTAACTCAAGAAGGAGAGAGACCACAATCTATTTTACATCTTAATAAAGTTTTGCTTGCTTTTACTTTGTTCTTGCTTGTTACTCTTTCTAGAGAGGATTCGAATCTCTGTTCTTATGAATATGAATTCGTTTCCTTCTCTATGTCTGAGTAGTTTACTTGTTAAGTGATAGGAAGTCAAAGGATAGCATTCATGTATGCTTGATGATTGATCACAATTAGGGTTTTACTTATAATCTCCATCTTTGCTTATACTTAATGCTTGTTGTTAATCTGGCCAATTAGCATATGCCTTTAGGTTGATTTGAGCCTCGACAGTGCTGTATCATTCGCCTGAACTAGTATTTGGTGGGCAATCTCTTTTAGACTGCGACAGTTGATCTACTTGTAGGTTGTGAACAATTGATCTTGATCGAACTAATGCTTGATTTAATCACCTAGGGACATACCAAAAGTTTAGCGACTAGGTAGATTAACAAAGGGGTCGGAGCCTCGACAGTGGAATGATCATACCATAGTGTTTCAAGTTCTAGATTAGCACCTAAGTGCGGTAACCCTAATTGATTGATTTCATGCTTCTTGAATTGCTTATCTCAAGACTATCCTATTGCTTAGCCTTTCTCTCCTATTGATTACTTCCTTTTAATTACTTGCATGCTTTACTTTCTCTGCACTCAACCAACTTATACTTTTGCCCTAGCTTGTTCTCAAACTCATAACTTGTAGTGTGCAATCTGGTCCTCGTGTTCGATACCCGTTTACTACTTCTGACCTGTGCACTTGCAGAATCAGGGATAGGAAAGGGGAAGACCTGATCCCGCGATCACTGACCCATGCACTATCTGATATTGGATAAATCACTCCAGCCTTTAATAGCTTCATTATCTCCTTCTTGACAACTTCCTTTAGGTTTGGGTTTAGCCTCCTTTGGTGTTCAATTGAAGAACTAGACTCATCCTCCAGGATGATGCGATGTGTGCATAGTTCAGGTGAGATTCCTGTTAAATCATCCAAAGAGTAACCAAGAGCCTTTCTATGCTTTCTCAGTTCGCGAACAAGTAAAGCGGTCTCTTCTTTTGTTAGTGCAGCATTAACAATAACAGGATATGTTTCATTAGGACCAAGATATTCATACCTTAGACCAACTGGGAGTTGTTTGAGCTCGGCTTTTGGAGCTCTAAGTGGGCACCATGGGTCGAACTTAACCTTGGTTTGTGATTTTCCTGCCTTGTCAATGTCTGGCTCTTCCTCTTCTCTCTCTAAGTCCATATAAGCTATCAGCTCTTATAAGCTTCCTTGAATCCATGAACTTGACTAAGCATTGAGCTTCTCTTTCCATGTATCCATACTCATTCTCAGCTTTGTCAAAGCTAGCTCCAAGGGATCAATAAGAAGGAGTTCATCCAGCACTTCTTCTCTTGTCTCTGCGAGCTCTCCAATCCAAAAAGCTTGACCATCTACAGTTGGTTTCTCCATAGACTTGTTTACTTCGAAATTCATCACTATATCTCCAAGATGCAAGTCAATCTTTCCATTCTTGACATCTATTATAGCTCCTGCAGTAGCTAGGAATGGCCTTCCCAAGATAAGAGGGTCTTTAGGTTGGTGTTCCAGCTCAAGAACTACAAAATCAGCAGGGATGTAGCAATCTCCAACCATGATTGGAACATCCATAATAACACCAACAGGGCGGCGAACAGATCTGTCTGCAAAGACTAGAGAGATCTTTGTAGGTTTGAAGTCAGTGATGCCCAATAGCTTGGCCACTGAGTAAGGCATTAGGTTCACACTAGAACCCAAATCACAAAGTGCTCTATGGAAGTGTGTAGAACCGATCTTGCAAGACAAAACAAAACTCCCTGGGTCGTTCAGCTTCTCTGGCATGCGATTCTGAAGTATGGCGCTACACTCCTTTGTAATCATCATTGCTCCTTCTTCAAGACTCACATTGCTTGTGAGTATGGCCTTCATATACTTCCTGAGAGATGGAATTATTTGGCAGGCATCAATGAAAGGTAACCTTACTGAAAGTTGGCTAACAAGATCCTTGAGCTTTGCTTGCTCCTTCTCCTTCTTGGGTTGAGAAAGAACATTTCTGTATGGGATCTTTGGCTCATACACTCTTGGTTCTTCAGGTGGCTTCTCCACTTCCTCCTGAGTTCCTGGTTCTATTCTGACATGGACTTCCTTAGGTGGTTCAGTCCCATCTCCAATGATAACATACTCCATTGGTTTCTTCTTGATTGGCGGCTTTGCTTCCTCTTGATCTGGGTATGCTGGTGGCTCATACCCTTTTCCATTCCTAAGAGTGATAGCTGCTACAGCTGCTCTCCTTGGATTGATTTCCACTTTTCCTGGTAGCACCTTCTTCTCTCTTAATAGAGCTGGCTATGTTGGCAACTCTAAGATCCAAGTCTCTTGTGAAAGAAGAAATAGAATCCAACTTCTCATTCAATCTCGTGAAGGCTGACTCCAATCTCTCATCAATCAAGGCTGTGTGCTCTCTATGAGAACTCTTGATGAAAGTTATCAAATCTTCAAAATTGCTCCTTGGCTCCATTCTTCTCTTGTGAGGTGGTTGCTGATAATTTCTTCCTCCATGAACATCCCTCTTCTCATTGGGTGATTCTTGAGTAAAAACATCATGCTCTCCCTTTCCAAGCTTCTTCTCCATGTGTGATCCATCTATTCCAACAAAGTTTACTTCTTCTTGAAAGCTTGGAATCAAATCTCCAAAGTAGTCTTGAATTATTGTGGATTCAACTCTATAAGCTTCTCTTTGTCTCTCCACTTCTCTTCCTTGGTTTCTCAGTATCTCAGCCATCATGGCTTTGATTTCGCTGTATCCATCTCTGTATGGATCAGAATTTATGGCCTTCACTGCTCTCTCATGCCCAATGAAGTTGTCACTGTCGCTTGAGGCTAGATTTTCAATCAAAATCTTTGCTTCAGTAACTGTCTTGGTCATGAAATTTCCATTGCTGGCTGTATCAAGAGAAAATCGACACTTCCCACTTATTCCTCTGTAGAAAATGTTCCATAGACTGCCCTCAGATAGCCCATGGTTAGGACACTCTCTTGTATAGTCCTTAAAGCGCTCCAATGCTTCATGAAAAGGCTCCACCGGCCCTTGTTGGAAACTAGAGATCTTTTCTCTCAACAAGTTTGCTCTTTGCTTTGTGAAAAAGTGACCTAGGAATGCCACCTTGTACTCTTTCCATGTGGTTATGGATTGAGCTGGAAGAGACTTAACCCAGCGCAAAGCCTTCCCTGTCAAAGTGAAAGAGAATAGTTTGCACTTTAAGTACTCCTTGGGTGCACCTCCTGCACTGATGGTGCCACAGATTTCTTCAAAAGCATCAATATGTTCCAAAGGATTCTCCTGGGTTTTCCTTGGAACTGGTTTTGTTTCACCAAACCAATGATCTCCGGTGAAATCTCATAGCTTCTTCCTTCAGGAAGTGGCGGCTGGATGGGATTCCGATCGATTAGTAGTGTTGGATTGGAATCGAAGTCTCCCATGACTTCTTCATTGTGTCGCGCTCCATCATTGGCGCGATTGTGCGCGGCATGTGGATCCGGCGGATCTTCGTTGCTCGGCCAGCGCGATCTCTCTCGCGGCCAAGTTCTCTCTATCCTCTTGATCGTCTGAATCACTCATGTTAGAGTTTCCTCTTTCAAGCTTAGTACCTGAAAGGATAGAGGCAAGATTCTTTAAATAGAAAACAGTAAAAAGGAAAAACAAAAGTTGAAAGTTTGCAAAAACAAAAAGGAAAAACGAAATTCTAGGCTAGACTATAGTTGGGAACTCGAAGGTAGCTGTATTGCTCCCCGGCAACGGCGCCAAAAACTTGATCGCGGGATCAGGTCTTCCCTTTTCCTATCCCTGATTCTGCAAGTGCACAGATCAAAAGTAGTAAACGGGTATCGAACACAAGGAGCAGATAAGTACACTTCGAGTATTGCAAGTCTAATATAGCTAGAAAACAAGTATGATTTAGGGTTTTCGATTGTGTAACAAGGAAATCAAAACAACTAAACGGTTTATGAAAATCAATAAAGGGAAACGCTAGGCAATGAGAAACTCGCAGAGATTCAAGGTTAACAAGATATTAGAAGGTTCGCTAGGGTTTGCGCTATCTAGAACTCAGGTCACGATTGTATGATCTTTCCACTGTCGAGGCTCCGACCCCTTTGTTAATCTACCTAGTCGCTAAACTTTTGGTATGTCCCTAGGTGATTAAATCAAGCAATAGTTCGTTCAAGACCCAATTGTTCACAACCCCGCATAGATCAACTTTCGCAGTCTATGAAGTTTTGCTCACCAAATACTTAGTTCAGGTTATATAGCAAGCTTTTGGAGAGTATATGAAACCTAAGATCTGATGCTAGTTGATCAGAAAAGCAAGCAGCAATGAATTCAAGCAGAGGCGAAGATGCGATATGATAAACCCTATGTGACTTCTAACAACCTATCAAACCATGAACTCTTTGATAGATCTCACAACCTAACTAGTGAATTACTCAGACATAATCAAAGCAAAACACAAAGAGATGAAGAAAACATGATTGCAATAAAACTCAAAGTATGAAATTGTAATACAAGGCGGCTCTCTCACAAGAGGCTAAAAAGCTATATATATAGTGCTAGGTCTTCTAGAGGCGGCTTAGGGTTAAGCCGGGCTTGAAAATATGAAATTGGGCTTCAAAAAGGGCTTCGGGTCGACCGCGGCGTTGGGATCGGTCGTGACGATCGGCCGGATAGTCGGGTCTTGGGCCGAGTCGGAACGGTCGTGGCCGGATGATTGCACGGTCGGCCGGCGTGGTCGGCGGATAAGGATTTGGCCGAAGGTTTCTCGGCCGGACGTGGATGATCTTCCCGGCTCGGACGGATGCATCGGCCGTGGTACGTGAACGGGTTGCGCGGCCGCGAGGCCTTGTTCCCCGGCTCGCGCGGCATGGTCGTGTGCGGCGGCGTGACGTGATGGTGGCTTGGCCGACCGCGGGCAATATTCCCGGGTCGCGATTTGTGATCGGCCGGGTGACTTCGAACTTTGGCCGAGACTTCAGATGGACGGATATGATTTTGGCCGAGCGCGAAACAATAGTTTCTCGGCCAGCCGGATTGCGCGGTTGGGCGCTGCTTTCTCGATAGAGCCGTCTGGACAGTCTTCACTCTTTTGGTTATAACTCCTTTTCTACTCATCCAAATTAAGCCGTTCCACTTGCGTTGGAAAGTTAACTCAGGCTCCAACTGGTAACCAAGGAATGAGGGGGAATAAATAAGTTCCCTCTCATTCCTTAAGAATTACACCATTCATAAGGAATGTGTATCTTATATTATTCCCCTTCATTCCATATTAATTAAAGACTTTTAGTGTTAAAATATTCCTTATCAAAAAACTGCAAGAATAAGTTCCCTAAATTTTATTCCTCTTCATTCCTTTCATTCTCATTCCTTTTGTTCCTTTAAAGCTCATCAGTTAGAGCCTCAATCAAAGCACGCAGGGAACTGGTCTTGATGAAATCCATTGAGTAGATCTTTTTCTGGGCCCTCTCAAAGTTGGTGCTTGTGCATGGAGCGGCTTGAAGTGCAAATCCTATGGTTAAGCTCCAAAATGCATCATTTCACCTGTTTAGACTCTAGACACTATAAACACAACAAAACTACCTTTTTAGATAGAAAACCTGCCAAAAACAATTATAAAACAATGCAAAAACAGTATAAAAAGTGGGTAAATTAGAGGTATATCAAGAAGGCACAGGAGGAAGCATTTCAGACTCTTAAGGATCGACTTACTAATGCACCTATGATAAAAAGTTAGGCAACATAAGAACAGGTGCATTAGTAAGTCGATCCTTAAGAGTCTGAAATGCTTCATCCTGTGCCTTCTTGATATACCTCTATTTTACATGCTTTTTATACTGTTTTAGCATTGTGTTCTAATGGTTTTTGGCAGGTTTTCTATCTAAAAAGGTAGTTTTACTGTGTTTATAGTGTCTAGAGTCTAAACAGGTGAAATGATGCATTTTGGAGCAAAACCATAGGATTTGCACTTCAAGTCGCTTCATACACCAGCATCAACTTTAAGAGGGCCCAGAAAAAGATCTACTCAATGGATTTCATCAAGACCAGTTCCCTGCGTGCTCTGATTGAGTTATCTTTCCAACGCAACTGGAACGGCCTAATTTGAATGAGTAGAAACGGAGTTACAACTAAAAGAGTGAAGACTGCTCCAGACGGCTCTATCGAGAATCAGCGTCCAAACCGCACAGACCGGCTGGCCGAGGAACAAATATTCCACGCTCGGCCAAAGTCACATCCGTCCGTCTAAAGTCTCGGCCAAAGTTCGAAACCGACCGGCCGATCACGCAATACGACCCGGGGAACATTGCCCCACGGTCGGCCAAGCTACAGCCGTTTCACGCCACGCCGTGCACGACCACGCCGCGTGAGCCGGTGAACAAAGCCTCGCGGCCGCGCAACCCAACTCGCGTACCACGGCCGATGCATCCGTCCGACCCGGGCAATAACGTCCTGATGCGGCATCTATGGGATGAGTACAAGTAATAATTCCCTAAGACAACTAGTGTTGCAAGTGCACAACATATAATTGTAGTATTTAGGGGTCGAACCACAAGGGATTGGATTTCACACATTACATAATCATAGAGTTTAAATGACTAAGCTAAATCAAAAGATGCAAGGGTTTGTGTTTGTTAGAACACGCAAAAGAAAATAACAATGCAATTCTATACAAGCAACATTATTGAACTATTGAAAACTCTTTTGAAAACATGAGCCAAGTCGATTGAAAAGTTTGTTAAAATCCGATTCTTTTGAACTCAAAACACTAAGGAAGGATTATTCCACTTTCGTGGTTCCAATCCCCTATGTCTCTTAAACCAATGGGCTCAGCTTTCGTTGGTCATTGTAGAGTGAGACATGCATTACATCCAAGTAATGATTGTTCACAAAACTCTTTAGGTCTACTTTCGTAGCCTAAAACGATTTGCCCATCAAATACTATATCCGGAGATATAACAAGCTTTTGGAGAGTATATCAACCTAAAATCAAGTCACTAGTTAGCTACTCTAGCAACAAGCATTAAGCATAAATAAAGATGGAGAACCATAGGGTTTCCCCTTTTAACAATCGATTTTCGATGGCCATTATATCACGTCCTCATTGGAAGGATCCATAATTCAACAATGAGTCTTAGATAGTAGATGAAGTCTCATGAATCCTTAGAGAGAGAGGCGGCGGAATATGGACTAAACCACGCCTCACCCTTAGGGAGAAATCTCTACTTCTAGACTATATAAATTGAAACATGCAAGCTATATACAAATGCAAAAGAAGAAAAGAAAGAAGAAGGAGACCACCTAAGTGGCTCCGAACTTTATTGAATAAGTGTTTCTTGTTATGCGGCTGGTGATTCTTATTACAAGAGGCTAAAAGCAAGTATATATAGGTAGAGAGCGGGTCTAGGTCGGCAAAGTTGAGCGCGCGCAGAAGAGGAAAGTTTCCATTTCTCTTTAGCCGCTTGAGCTTGCTCTCCAAGTTCTTGAATGGGCCGCGTTCAGGCCAATGGAAGCTTCTGGATTGAGTTATGCTAGTGTCAAGACGAGCCAAGGCCTTGGGCGCGGTATCTCGGGCCTCTTGATCCATCAAAGTCTCCATGGGCTCTACTTAGGCGCTCGTCGGACATGTCTTGGTAGAAAATAAGTTCCGGTCCAACGAGTGATCCAAATGACCTCTTTCCACTTCGCCGCGGGTCATGACTCAAATATCTATCTTTCCATATAAGAATCATGACTTTTGGACGTCGGGAAGGCATGAATATGCGGTCGTACTTCGGATGCTCCGGTTTGGTCTTTAGCGAGAAATAGATTTGGTGCTCTAGACTTGGGAACTTGGTGATTTGACTCTTTTTGCTCCATTTTGACTCTTCTTTGCTATTTTGACCTGAATGATGCTCAAAACCAGAATATACAAGAAAACTACCTCTTGGGCTAAAAACCACATTATTTGTATTGAAAACATAGTGAAAACCTTGTAAAAACATGAAAGATATGGATATATCAACTCCCCCAGACTTAGCCTTTTGCTTGTCCCCAAGCAAACTAAGAGAGGAAGAGAGGTTTGAAAACACAAGAACTCTCAAATCTTTAGGAAATCCAGGTTGGCTTAGTTTTAGTAATCCACATGAAAGTAGTAAAGGCAAAATTTGAATTAAGAACAAGAGTACATACCATGAGTTTTGCGATTTTCCAAGGCGGCCCACCTCTCTTTGGACAATCCAATTCGCCATCCTTGACTCCTTTCATTTCTAAAGGTGTGGTCTCAACTAGGGAGTATCGATCAGCCGGCTTTAGACTCTTACTCATCCCCTTGTTTGGCACTTGTCTTTTTACTCCATGTTTCTCCTCTCTCTCTTCTCACTTCTTCAAGTTGATTCATCCCTTTTTTAGGGTAGCGAAGTATTTTTTTATTCAACTCCTTCTCTTTATTATAGAGGTTTTGCTTGGATCTTCCATAGACGCGAGTATTGATGGTGTTTGCCACCGAATCCCCGGTTGCTTGGATCCATAGGCCTTCCATAGACGCGAGTATTGATGGTGTTTGCCACCGAATCCCCGGTTACTTGGACCTTACGCTTTTTCTTTAAATTGAAGGGGAGAGAGAGGGAAGCACGAACTCACTAAGACTTTTTCATTTGATGGAGAGGATGAGGAATCATGCCATTTGTATGCCAAGCCCCTAGCTGAGAAGATTAAGTTCATTAAGGGCGGAGTCAAGAGTGGATCCTTCTCAAGTCTTTGGAGATGTGGGCGTTTTTGGTAGATCGATCAACTCATAGTGTCCCTGTGGTAAGATGTATTGCCAAGACTGCTTCAATGGTCACTTAAACGTTAGCACAACAATGGTTAGATCCAAGATAAGGTCATAATCCTTTGACAAAATTTTGACTCAATAAAACGACTCAATGAAATTCCAAAAGAACAAACTTGTTAGTAATCCCCCCAGACTTAACTTGCACCGTCTCGGTGTAAGAAAAATCCAATTAAGAGAGGTGAATATAAATATGAATGGAAAAGTTAGAGTTTGTAGAAAATTGTACCTAAATTTTTGGCCCTTGATGTGAAGATCGGTTGTGCGCTTGTAGTTGCTTCCAGGATTTAACTGACTGGGGCAAACATCAAAGCTGTTGGATTTGTTTGGATGAATGTGACAATTCTAACTTGGTTTTCTGTTTTTCGCCTTTTTGGCCGAGACAGGTCCGTTTTGGTCGACCGGATGGTGATGGTATGGACTACAGCTCGAAAGGTGAAGAATTCCTCGACCTATATTGAAATTCTGTCGACCAATATCGTGTAATATGGTGACTGGTGAAGTTTGGGGTCGTTTGAACGAACGGTGTCGGACTTTCTTTGAAATTGTTTTTTCAAAGGGGCTCCGGGAACGTCTTCCTTTGGCCTACAACAATTCTGCTCGTTCCATTCTGGATTTTCTTCCTTAGATGCGATGTGGATGCTTGATGGAGGTGATTTGAGCCGGTGGCCGCGGTAAATGCCGTGATTTGTGTTGTCGACCATTTTACTTGGTCGTGATCGGCCAAATTTCGCTCCTTCGGCCATCTCTTGAATTATAAGGAATTCATTGTACTGAAATGAAATTTCATCGACCAACCTTATATTTTATGGCTCCTCTTGAAGTTTGAGGTGATTTGAATGTGTGGATTCGGAGATCGTTCGTTGTGCGCGCCAATGGCTTCGGGATGAGATTCCTTTGGCCGTCTTGTATTCTGGTCGATCGTCTCCTGCTTTTCTTCCTCTTTGGTGTCACTCAGGCTCCAAAGGATCAGTTTCCATCGGTGTTCGCGCCTTCTTGAGGTTTTGAGTTCGTCGGCCATCTGATGCATCGCCGTCGGCCGTATTGATCTTACACATCTATCTCATGTTGCGGGCACTTTTCCTCGTCCTATCTTTTTGATTTGCTGACCAAAATGATGTTTTGGGGTCGCCTATGAAGTTTGGTGGACTTCGGTCGTGCCGTTTGGGAGATGGTCGAGTGTGGTTGCTTGGTTCGTCGATTTTGACTCGTGCCAATTGATTTCTGCTTCGACCAAACTGTTTTTATATCCCTCCTGGATTGAAATGTAGTTGGATTTCCCTCATCTCTCATGTTTATCATGTAAATCCTTCTTTGGCCGGTTGTGGCTTCCTTGCGCGCCATGTTTGTGTGATATTCTGAACCGGTTTTTCCTGTCATGTTTTATATCTTTGTCTTGTGCAAGATGTTGTTGCAAGTGCCTCGTGTAGCGCCTTTGGACTCCAAACATGGGTGGGACTTGGGTGGGACTCAAACTAGACTCAATGCTCAATACTTTGACCAAAGATGGTTAATCTTTTAGGTCAAGTCGTGGCTATGCAGCCTATCCAATGCATTTTCATGTAGGCCTCCTTTGGTACTTTTTCCTAAAACAAGTATTATTATTATTATTTTTTTTTATCTTTGTAAAATTCATTAAACTCTCAAAAAATTTCAAGAGCAACAAATAGAACAAGTAAATAGTTTTTGAAAATAAAAATAAAATTAAAAAGAGGAAGGGATAAGGAAATATGGGTTGCCTCCCACAAGCGCTTGTTTTAAGTCTTTATAGCTCGACTCCTTTGTGTTTTTATTTAGGTAGGATTGGTGGCTCCCAGAACTTCCTGGTGCTTGATGGTTGCAAGTGCATCTTGTCCTGTAGAACTTCCTTGATCAAGTAGCCATGTGACTCTCCTCTTACTTGTGAGCACTCTCCTCCACTTGTGTAGCGAAATCGCTTGGATGAGAAACCGGGAGGTGCAGCATCGTAGAAGGTATCCTTGTCGACATTGGCTAGAGAGATTCTTCTATTAGGCCAATGATGTGCGGGATCAGGTCTTCCCCTTTCCTACCCCTGATTCAGCAAGTGCACAGGTCAGAAGTAGTAAACGGGTATCGAACACAAGGACCATATTGCACGCTACAAGTTATGAGTTTGAGAACAAGTTAGGGCAAAAGTATAAGTTGGTTGAGTGCAGAGAAAGTAAAGCATGCAAGTAATTAAAGGTAAGGATTCAATAGGAGAGAAAGGCTAAGCAATAGGATAGTCTTGAGATAAGCAATTCAAGAAGCATGAAATCAATCAATGAGGGTTACCACACTTAGGTTCTAATCTAGAACTTGAAACACTATGGTATGATCATTCCACTGTCGAGGCTCCGACCCCTTTGTTAATCTACCTAGTCGCTAAACTTTTGGTATGTCCCTAGGTGATTAAATCAAGCATTAGTTCATCAAGATCAATTGTTCACAACCTACAAGTAGATTAACTGTCGCAGTCTAAAAGAGATTGCCCACCTAATACTAGTTCAGGCGAATGATACAGCACTGTCGAGGCTCAAATCAACCTAAAGGCATGTAACACCCCTGATTCGTTCTATAAATAGATCAAACCAAAGATGTCACATAGGGAAGGCTAAGCAGGTCCAAACCCATATCACAAAGACTTGGGACCGATCCTACCTAGTTTCCCTTTACCTCAGTTCCCATAATACTAAGGCTTTGCAACCCGAAGAACAAGAACTGAGTTGTGTTCGTTTGGACTAAACAAATATCATCCAAACAAGCCATCTTTAATAAAACATAACTTTTATTTATATCTTATCAAAGATGCTTTATTCAAAAACTTAAACGTACTTTCGGCCGAGGCCTAGTGCCAAAAAGAGAGAAAAGGAAAACATACTTTATCACAAACTGTATTTTACAATAGCCAACAAAAACTACTCCAGCTCCTAACGTCCCACGCTATCTCTTCTACGCTCTACGGTTTTTTGCAAAACAAACAAACGTTATCAGTAATCTAAGATTACTGGTGAGTCCAGGACCCTCTACCCCGAACCTCACAACAACGTTACCCAAACCCCACAATCAAACAACATGCAATCAAGCAATCAACGACTACAACAACTCAATCAAAGCAAGCACAAGCGGAAGCATTCACACAAACATAATAGCTTTCTAACTACTATGCACACACAAACAATCAAACAATCATGCAATCAATCTCAAGGGGAACATCGCACGTTTCCCCTTGGATCCGGACATGCATGCAACACACAACACAATCAACCACACACAATCAATCACACACAAACAACCACACACAAACGCAATAGTAACCACTATACTATTACGCAAACACGCTACCACCAAAACTACGTGGTATCGGCTTCTATCATGCACGGATCTCCCCTAACCGTGATATCCGCGCCAGGGAAACACACAGTAACCCTGACCGGACTCTCACACCGATTCTTGACCCTTCCATGATCAAGAACTCGGCTCCCGACTCTCTTGCCATCGCCGAAAGGAGACACCCGGGCTACACCGTTGTGTAGTACTCAGCCATGGGAACGACCCAAGTACCCTCTGAGTCATCCTTACGATCCATCCAAGAGGGTTTCTCAGTGAATGAACCGCAAGGGAGGAGGAGCATCACGATACACCGCTAAGATCATTGATCAAACACACACAATGATCTATTTACGCACTACTAGGTCCATAGGGTTTCTATGACCTCACACACAAAGATCCATAGCATTGGGCTATGATCTCATACGCACATACACACACAATAGGTCCATAGCTTACACCACGCTATGACCTCACACAACACACAAAAATAGATCCATAGCTTTCGCCATGATCTCACGCAATAGGTCCATAGCTTACACCACGCTATGACCTCACACACATAACTCAAAATATGCACAACATGTAATCACACAATATGCAATCACATGATATGCAACACACAACACACAACATGCAAGCAATCAAGAAAGAGAAGGAGTTTCTTCCCAATCCTATTCCTGCATAAAACCACGTTAGCTTAAAGACTTAAGCTACCGGGACTCACTTATTACGAAGATCAGGCTCTTCACTCTGCACTTGAACTAGATCCAACATCTAAGTTAGATCCAGCTCAAACAAGGTTTAGACTAAGAAAGCTAAGGGTTCTAAAGCTTACCGACCCACCACGCTATCGGAAGCTAGAGCTTTCACCACGCTCTCACCCTTAACGATCGCCTAAACTAACCTCACTATCACTCTCAAACTTTCACACACACAAACCACTTTCTTTCACACTTTTCTTAAGAACAAGGATGAAGGAAAAGGGTTTCTAAAGGTGAGGGAGAGGTATTTATAGACTGAGAGGGAGACTTGGTGGCTTCACCACCTCTTGACACCACAACGCGCATGTGTCATCATTCCGGCAACAAGTGGCGGCGTTTCCTTTACATGCGGAGGAGGACGCCCTGACCCGCTGACACCTCGTCCAGGTCAGTCTCCTGCTCCTCTCTAGCCGCCACATGCCCCAGACACACTCCACAAATTGCTCATACGTTGACACCTCACAAGAGTAGATTCATGTAATTTTGCATGAACTCTTCTCGTAGTGACAAGTGTCCCACTCACACTTTCTTCTTCTCTCATTGTGACACATGTCTTCTTTTTACATGCACAAATGAGTCACTCACTCCAATATCTCACTCCATGTTCCACTCAACTCTCGGCCGCGTTCCGTACGTTCACGTACCGGCCGCACGTACCGCGCAAGCATCCCACGGCCAAACATTGTTGTCCGTGGCCGATCTTACGTTCCCAAACGTTCCTCCAACTCTTTTCATGACCATTTTGTTGTCTATTCATATCTTGGCCACCTGCCCGTCACGCCGATCCGCGCATCCTGTACGTCCGTACAGCGATCCGTCCGGCTGACCATCTCTCGGCCGTAAACACTCTTTTCTTCTATCTTGAGTTTTACTCGGCCAAATCCACTTCTGCTTCGACCGTTCTTCATCTTTTAGAACTGTCTACTCATTCCAGAAGAAAAATCCGTGTTTTCTCTTACTCCTCTTCAGGGTTACTACATTCTCCCCCACTTATTAGAATTCGTCCTCGAATTCCTTTAAGTATGAGAAGGTCCTCCTTGCTCCAACTGAGCCTCCCCTTCAAAGAACTCTGGGTAGTTAGAACGAAATCGTTCCTCATCTTCCCAAGTCACCACCATACGGTTCTGTTTTCCCCAATACACTTGTATTTGAGGAATCCTCCGATTCTTCAACTCTCTAACACGTCTCAAACCAATCTTGAGAGGTCCCTCCGGGTAAGTTAGGTTTCTCCTAAGCTCTTCCGGCCTCTCCCGTTCAATGGCATTTGGATCCGGTACATGTTTCCTTAGCAAAGAAACATGAAACACAGGATGCAAATTCATGTCTGGAGGTAGCTCCAATCGATAAGCCACTACTCCAACTCTTCCAATGATTCGGTATGGCCCTATGTAGCGCACAGCTAACTTGCCAACCTTGCTGAATCGATCTCTCCCCTTTTGAGCCGACACCTTGAGATACACCATATCTCCGGCCTCAAAATTCACTTCACGCCTTCCTTAATCAGCATACTTCTTCTGCCGATCCTGAGCCTTCCTCATGTTAGTTCGAATAACTTTGAGTTTCTCCATAGTCTCATCGATTATATGTGGCCCAAAAACTCTCCGCTCTCCAACCTCCGTCCAGCACAAGGGCGTTCGGCATGGTCTCCCATATAGTGCTTCATATGGAGACATGCCGATGCTTGTGTGGTAACTGTTGTTGTAGGAAAACTCTATCAATGGTAGATAGTCTTCCCAAACTCCAGCCCAATCCAATATGCATAACCTCAGCATATCTTCTATCGTTCGGATGGTCCGCTCCGTTTGTCCATCCGTCTCCGGGTGAAAGGCTGTACTAAGGTTTAGTACGGTCCCTAACGCCCTCCAAAACTTGGCCGTAAACCTTGGGTCGCGCTCAGACACTATGTCGGCCGGCACCTCCATGTAGCCTCACTATCTGATTAATATAGAGCTCCGCCAAAGTCTCTACTTTATCAGAATCTCGAATAGCGAGTAAGTGAGCTACCTTCGTCAGTCGATCCACAATGACCCATATGGAATTGTTCATCCGCCCTCTTGCGACTGGCAATCCGGTGATTAGATCCATCGCCACGGAATCCCATTTCCATTCTGGTACAGGCAGACTCTGAAGTAGTCCTGCTGGTACAAGATGTTCCGCCTTGACTTGTTGACACGCTTGGCAGTGCGATATCCATTTCGCTACCGCTCTCTTCATACCCGGCCAATGATAGTACCTTCGTACATCCTTGTACATTTTTGTGCTCCCGGGATGAATACTAAGAACTGATTGATGTGCAATCCTTAATATCTCATCTCGTAGCCCATCTCCTTCAGGAACTGAGATCCTTCCATGGACAAGTAATGTCCCGTCTTCCGCCAATTGATACTCAGTCGTGTTCTCCTCGTCTGAATCCTCAATCTTCTCCACAATCTTACGGATCTTGTCATCCCTAAGTTGTGCTTCACGAATCCTTTGGATCAAACTTGATTGATTCACAGCTTGAAACCCCAAAGGTTCACTCGACTCTCCTTCCAAGGCTGAAAGCCTTATTATCTGAAACTCATTATTAAGAGCTTCCAACTCTTTCTCTCTACACACCTCCAGCTTTCTTCGACTTAAAGCATCCGCCACCACATTGGCTTTCCCAGGATGGTATTGGATCTTTAAATCGTAGTCCGCTATGAACTCCATCCACCTTCTTTGCCGTAGATTCAAATCTCCTTGAGTGAACAAGTATTTAAGACTTTGATGGTCTGTAAACACTTGCACGCTCTCTCCATAAAGATATGATCTCCATATCCTTAACGCAAACACCACAGCCGCCATCTCCAAATCATGAGTTGGATAGTTCTCCTCATGCTTTCTCAGTTGTCTAGATGCATAGGCCAACACCTTGCTTTCTTGCATCAAAACACATCCCAGTCCAATCCTGGATGCATCTGCATACACATTATAAGGCTTACCGGCTCTGGTAATGTTAATACCGGTGCCGTAGTCAATGCCTCCTTAAGCTTCACAAAAGCTTTTTCCACGTCGTCACTCCACACAAAGGGAACTCCTTTCCCAGTAAGCTTTGTCATCGGTTTTGCTATGGACGAAAATCCACTCACAAACTTCCGATAATAGCCGGCTAACCCAAGAAAGCTCCGCACCTCCGTCACATTGGTAGGTCGAGGCCAATCTCGGATTACCTCTATCTTCTCCGGATCTGCTGATACACCTTGTTCAGAGACCCTGTGCCCTAGGAAACCTATCTCTCGTCTCCAAAAGCGGCACTTACTAAACTTCGCATACAACTTCTGATCTCTCAACCTCTCCAAGACCTTCTTTAGGTGCTCCTCATGCTCCTCTTTAGTCCGAGAGTAGATCAGAATATCATCAATGAAGATGATCACGAAACTATCCAAGTAATCGTGAAACACCTCATTCATCAACCGCATAAACGCCGCCGGTGCGTTAGTTAACCCAAACGGCATTACCACAAACTCGTACTGTCCGTACCGAGTATTGAACGCCGTCTTCATCACATCTCATTCTCAATAGGTATCTGATGATACCCTGAAGCCAAGTCGATCTTAGAGAACCAACTTGCTCCTCTCAACTGATCCAACAATTCATCGATTCTAGGAAGTGGGTACTTATCCTTGATCGTGATATTGTTGATCCCTCTATAGTCGATGCAAAGCCTCATGCTTCCATCTTTCTTCTTCACAAACAGCACTGGCGCTCCCCATGGAGAAGAACTTGGTCGTACAAATCCTTTCCCCAACAAATCCTCCAACTGCGCCTTCAACTCGGCCAGTTCCACCGGAGCCATCCGGTAAGGAGTCTTTGCTATTGGAGACGCCCCGGTATCAAGTTTATCGTGAACGGATTACTCCGGGGTGGAGGTAACTCCGTCAACGACTTGAACACGTCCACAAACTCAGAGACAACCGGTATCTCCTCTACCTTTGTCTCTTTCTCCACTTCAGCCTCAACCACGTTGATCGCAACTAAGTAGACACATCCTTCCACTAGTTGTTGCTGCACTCTCAACGCCGATACCACAGAGACACCCGTACTAGGCCGTATCCCTTGGTATACCACCACCGAATCCAGGTCTCCTCTCAAAGTCACCCTCCCTCTACTACAATCCAAATTGGCTCTATTTCTAGACAGCCAATCCATGCCTAAGATTACCTCGTAACCTATCATAGGCACCACAAACAGGTTTACCCTAAAGATTCTTTCCACAATCTCTAAGGGTACACCTACCACCAAGCTCGAAGATCTAAGGATTTGGTTTCCTGGGGTTACCACAGAAACACTTACCTCCTCAACAGGATAGATCTCTCGAAACCTCATCACCACCTCGGGAGTCACAAAACTATGTGATGCTCCCGAGTCAAACAAGACATGCGTGGGGTTACCACCAACATGTAATGTTCCTACCACACCACCACAAGAATCAATCATCAATATGCACATTTATCATATGCAAATTATGATCATTCACACCACACACACACACACAAGAAAAGAATGCAATGCAATCTAATCTATCAATCAACACACATCACAGGCAAGCAATCTAACTTCACACACAAGGAAAGTTAGAACCCAAACAAACCTGTGATAGGACCTCTAGACGATTCTGGAGGTTTACCAACTTCAGCGTCCAAAGCAAACACTCTACCCGCAGTGGCTTGACGCTTAATCGGGGGTTCTTTTGCAGATCGGGTCGCGGCCGGCTGATTCTCTTCCACTCTCGACACTTCCATCCCTCTCAAGGGACAGCTATGTGCATAATGTCCCTTTTCACCACATGTGAAACAAGAGACCCATTCCGGAACCCTTAAAGGTCTCCTACTCTCAGTACAATCTCTAGAGATATGTCCTTCCTTTCCACAATTATAACAACCCGTTCCTCTAGGTTTGGTGTAACCTGGACTTGGGTTTCCCCTCTACGTCCTTCTCCTTGACTAGACGTATTACTCTTCTTTGATTGCTTAGAGTTCGAACCACCTTGGTTCCGATTCTCTCTTGGCTTGCTTGTCACGGCTTGCTCCTTAGCCACACACGTCTCTACATTTACTGCCTTCTCTATCACTTCATAGAGATGAGTATGTCACTGCTTGTAGACGTCCACCAATCTCTGGTTTCAAGCCCTGAAGAAACTTGCGAACCATCGCTCTCTCATCACCATATCCATAAGTCACATACTTTTGTAACTTAATGAATTCCGCCTCATACTCTCTCACACTCCGGTTTCCTTGAGTTAGAGCAACAAACGCTTGCTCCATGCGATCTCGTGCTTCTGGGGGGAAGTACTTTCGCTTGAACTCCTCTTGGAAGCTCTCCCAAGTAAAGATTGTATGGTAAGTCTGACGATCAAGACTGTTCCACCAATCTAGTGCTTCCTTCTCAAGATAGTAAATCGCCACATCCTTCTTGAACTCCGGAGGACATCTAGTCGCGCAAAGTTCTTCTCGAGGCATTGCATCCACGCATCTGCCGCATAAGGATCTGGGTTTCCCGCAAACTTGTATGTCCCCAACGTTTTCATCGTTGTGACAATCTTCAAGAAGTCTGGTGGAGGAGGCGTTCCATTGCCTGCACCAGCTTGTCCTTGCAGCACCTGGGACAGTAGATTATGAACCATACTCAAGGTTGGATCTACCTGTTGTCGTCCCGGCTGCTCTACTGTATGTTCTCTCGCCGCTGCCCCGGCTACACTCTGATGCACTTGCGGACCCGGAAACTGTCCTAAGTTTCCAATCGGTGAATACGACGTCGATTGATACGATGGCATGGGAACGTCCCACGACCCATAGTACCACTGATTTCCCATATCAGATTCACTCGCTGATGGTGGCATGTAGCCATGCATCTGCCCACTCCACATACTACTATCTTCCGTATACGTCGAAGTATCTGAAGAGATATTCACATACTGCGGCCCCGACGCACCCCGACCCGATTGCGAACCCCGCGATTGCTCACCACCCTGGTTTGACATCTGCCAACAAAAAGGTGTGAGTCCTAACCTTACTAATGGAACGTACTGGATTAACCTAATTGGCTTTTGCGACACATTTTGACTCAAAAAACATTTGAAAAAGGCTTGTCCGCGAGCATGATCATAAACCATGCTCTGATACCACCATTTGTAACACCCCTGATTCGTTCTATAAATAGATCAAACCAAAGATGTCACATAGGGAATGTAATATCCCTCATGCTAGCTAAGCACGGTCAAGACATAGACGGGACGGACGGCCAGAAACGACCATCCCACTACACGGAGGATCCATCCCATGACAAGCGCGAGAAACGCAAATGTCCCGGGATAGAGGTTTCCCGCACATTTCCAAGCAGCTATGTGAAAGCTCAGAAACATGGAAATGACGGAAGGATTAAAATGAGAGATTTTAATTCTCAAGTACGACGGGACGAAACCCTCCAGTCAAGGAAACGTACGAAACCCTCCGTACAGGGAAACGTACGAAACCTTCTGCAAGAGGAAACGTAGAAGGAAGCACAAGGCCAATGGAATGGCGACACCAGCTACTTATCAAGGATAAGTTCAAGCTAACCAATCAAGTATGGGCACTCAGCTGCTCATATGGGACGAAAATGTGTTGCACCAATCAGGTGTGAGCACTCAGCTGCTCATGAGAAGACAGGAATGTGTTGGACGAATCAGGTCTAGACACTCAGCAGCTTGTTGATCTGATCAACAATGAGCCAATGGAAAGGAGCCACTTGATCCAGGAAGATAGGATCAAGGAGGAGATGCTCATCCTCAACGAACCAATCACGTTCAGCTACCCAGCAGCTTGGGGAATGGACCAATGGGAAGGTGCCATTTGACTCAAGTGGATTGGGATGGAAGAAGCTGCTCCAGGCGTGCAGCAATGCCATTGGTTGCATGCGGAAGCAAGGTGTCGCGTTCTGAAGCCACCAGACGCCACCTCGAGCTTCCGAAAAACCTATATAAAGGCCCCCTTGGTCTTCATTTCCAAACCACACCACAAACTGAAATCTAGAGAGAGAAACTAGAAAGAGAAAGTGAGAAGGCGTGGAGGAGAAGAGAAAGAAGAAGAAAGAGGAGAAGAGAAGAAGATCCAGAGGCGGATCAGCATCGGGCTAGAGCGGGGAGGCTAGGGTCGGGGTCAGCCGGGTCGTCTAAAAGTTGTGAGTTCCGGTAGCTAGGTTATAGTTTATTTCCTTCTATCGTTTCATAAGTATGTGGTATAACTCTCTAAACAATAATGTTTAGTAAAAATTGTGGAGAGTTATGCTGCAGAAATCTCTGTGAGGTTGTGACGGGTAATCTTCTAGAGAGAGAAGTTATGCCGTCAGATCTCTTGTGTTGTGAGGTTGTGTTAGGTAACCTTCGGGGAAGGTTATGCTGGCAGATCTCTTTTGTGTGTAAGATTGTGATGGGTAACCTTCGGGGAAGGTTATGCCGTCAGATCTTGTTTGTGCAGGTGCATAGAGATGCATCGGTTGTGGGGTTATAGCATGGCTATGCCGCTAAACCTCGAGTGCATGCTAACATGGTGGTGCGTAAGGCCCATATGTTGAGTATGACTCCGATGTGGAAAGATCACGGACGGCTGAGCCGCCAGATCTTTCGAGGTTCGTGTGGGTACTCTTCCGAGGCAAGGGAAGCTCTGCCGCAGAACCGAGGGTATGAGGCATAGTGGTGCGTAAAGGCCCATATGCTAAGTACTGAGAACATGTGGCGTGTCTAACCACATGTTGTTTAGGAAGGTGTAGTCAAGCGCATTCTCGCACGTCAGAGCCCAACCGGATTGGCAGCGTGGAGGCTGTGCATGAAGGGAGGAAGACTCGGAGGATAACCTGGTCAGCTGCCTTGGCCGAGTATGGTACCATATGACGATATGGGATCCAACCAGACATTGGCATGGTGCGCCAGTAAGGCCAATAGATGGGAGGATGAACCGGGTACCGCGATGGACTGTAGTGCCCGGGTGAAGGCGTTCATCTAGTTTCTGTGTGATTCCGGATGAGCGTGAACCTTCACAGGCGTGGGCTGAGAATGTGGCTTATGCACCTAGAGGCCTCACTGCATGTAGAAGTCAAGTATTCCGCTACTTGATTAGGGTTGCTTTGCATATAGATTGATTGTGTGCATTGCTTGATTGATTGATTGCTTGTTTGAGTGTTGTTATAGTCTTGGATTGATCGTACCTGTTCTTGTTTGATTGGGGTACGGTTAGTCTTAAGGCTATAGCAGCAATATTGCATAATTGCTTTGTGTTGCAGGTGGCGGATGAGATCCCGCCTTTTTCTTTTGGGGTTTGGGTTTGGGGAATAACCTTTGTATAGAGGGTCCTGAACTCACTGAGTAACATTAGGTTACTCATGATGATTATTTGTCTTACAGGTAGCTCGGAGTAGAATCCTGTGAACAGGAGGCAGAACAGTCGAAGACCGGAGTAGTTTGGTTGGCTTTTTGCAAAACTCGGTTTTCGGGTAATGTATGTATAATTATCTTTTGGCATTAGGCCGCAGCTGCAACATAAAGTATAAAATGTTTTGTAAGAATTTGTATTACAAGTTTGATATATATAAAAGAATGTTTTCTTTTAAACCCGGTTACTCAATGATAATAGGCTAGTCCAAGCCGACACAACTCAAGACCATGGTACGGGTTGCAAAGCCTTATGCTACGGTCGAGAGGGTCGGATTCACCGGACGGGCTGATCTAGACTTTGATTCGTTCTCTGTTCTGGAACGGCCTATTTGATGAGTCTCGACAGTTGTGACATCTGTGGTTTAGTCTATGTCTATAGACCGAACTGGGGGTGTTACAGGGAAGGCTAAGCAGGTCCAAACCCATATCACAAAGACTTGGGATCCGATCCTACCTAGTTTCCCTTTACCTCAGTTCCCATAATACTAAGGCTTTGCAACCCGTAGAACAAGAACTGAGTTGTGTTCGTTTGGACTAAACAAATATCATCCAAACAAGCCATCTTTAATAAAACATAACTTTTATTTATATCTTATCAAAGATGCTTTATTCAAAAACTTAAACGTACTTTCGGCCGAGGCCTAGTGCCAAAAAGAGAGAAAAGGAAAACATACTTTATCACAAACTGTATTTTACAAAAGCCAACAAAAACTACTCCAGCTCCTAACGTCCCACGCTATCTCTTCTACGCTCTACGGTTTTCTGCAAAACAAACAAACGTTATCAGTAATCTAAGATTACTGGTGAGTCCAGGACCCTCTACCCCGAACCTCACAACAACGTTACCCAAACCCCACAATCAAACAACATGCAATCAAGCAATCAACGACTACAACAACTCAATCAAAGCAAGCACAAGCGGAAGCATTCACACAAACATAATAGCTTTCTAACTACTATGCACACACAAACAATCAAACAATCATGCAATCAATCTCAAGGGGAACATCGCACGTTTCCCCTTGGATCCGGACATGCATGCAACACACAACACAATCAACCACACACAATCAATCACACACAAACAACCACACACAAACGCAATAGTAACCACTATACTATTACGCAAACACGCTACCACCAAAACTACGTGGTATCGGCTTCTATCATGCACGGATCTCCCCTCACCGTGATATCCGCGCCAGGGAAACACACAGTAACCCTGACCGGACTCTCACACCGATTCTTGACCCTTCCATGATCAAGAACTCGGCTCCCGACTCTCTTGCCATCGCCGACAAGAGACACCCGGGCTACACCGTCGTGTAGTACTCAGCCATGGGAGCGACCCAAGTACCCTCTGAGTCATCCTTACGATCCATCCAAGAGGGTTTCTCAGTGAATGAACCGCAAGGGAGGAGGAGCATCACGATACACCGCTAAGATCATTGATCAAACACACACAATGATCTATTTACGCACTACTAGGTCCATAGGGTTTCTATGACCTCACACACAAAGATCCATAGCATTGGGCTATGATCTCATACGCACATACACACACAATAGGTCCATAGCTTACACCACGCTATGACCTCACACAACACACAAAAATAGATCCATAGCTTTCGCCATGATCTCACACAATAGGTCCATAGCTTACACCACGCTATGACCTCACACACAACACTCAAAATATGCACAACATGTAATCACACAATATGCAATCACATGATATGCAACACACAACACACAACATGCAAGCAATCAAGAAAGAGAAGGAGTTTCTTCCCAATCCTATTCCTGCATAAAATCACGTTAGCTTAAAGACTTAAGCTACCGGGACTCACTTATTACGAAGATCAGGCTGGACTGCTCACAAACCGAGATCTTCACTCTGCACTTGAACTAGATCCAACATCTAAGTTAGATCCAGCTCAAACAAGGTTTAGACTAAGAAAGCTAAGGGTTCTAAAGCTTACCGACCCACCACGCTATCGGAAGCTAGAGCTTTCACCACGCTCTCACCCTTAACGATCGCCTAAACTAACCTCACTATCACTCTCAAACTTTCACACACACAAACCACTTTCTTTCACACTTTTCTTAAGAACAAGGATGAAGGAAAAGGGTTTCTAAAGGTGAGGGAGAGGTATTTATAGACTGAGAGGGAGACTTGGTGGCTTCACCACCTCTTGACACCACAACGCGCATGTGTCATCATTCCGGCAACAAGTGGCGGCGTTTCCTTTACATGCGGAGGAGGACGCCCTGACCCGCTGACACCTCGTCCAGGTCAGTCTCCTGCTCCTCTCTACAGCCGCCACATGCCCCAGACACACTCCACAAATTGCTCATACGTTGACACCTCACAAGAGTAGATTCATGTAATTTTGCATGAACTCTTCTCGTAGTGACAAGTGTCCCACTCACACTTTCTTCTTCTCTCATTGTGACACATGTCTTTTTTACATGCACAAATGAGTCACTCACTCCAATCTCTCACTCCATGTTCCACTCAACTCTCGGCCGCGTTCCGTACGTTCACGTACCGGCCGCGTACCGCGCAAGCATCCCACGGCCGAACATTGTTGTCCGTGGCCGATCTTACGTTCCCAAACGTTCCTCCAACTCTTCTCATGACCATTTTCTTGTCTAGTCATATCTTGGCCACCTGCCCGTCACGCCGATCCGCGCATCCTGTACGTCCGTACAGCGATCCGTCCGGCTGACCATCTCTCGGCCGTAAACACTCTTTTCTTCATATCTTGAGTTTTACTCGGCCAAATCCACTTCTGCTTCGACCGTTCTTCATCTTTTAGAACTGTCTACTCATTCCAGAAGAAAAATCCGTGATTTCTCTTACTCCTCTTCAGGGTTACTACAAGGCATATGCTAATTGGCCAGATTAACAACAAGCATTAAGGATAAGCAAAGATGGAGATTATAAGTAAAACCCTAATTGTGATCAATCATCAAGCATACATGAATGCTATCCTTTGACTTCCTATCACTTAACAAGTAAACTACTCAGACATAGAGAAGGAAATCGAATTCATATTCATAAGAACAGAGATTCGAATCCTCTCTAGAAAGAGTAACAAGCAAGAACAAAGTAAAAACAAGCAAAACTTTATTAAGATGTAAAATAGAATGTGGTCTCTCTCCTTGTTTTGTTACAAGGCTAAAAAGAAGTATTTATAATGCTCTAAGTATAAGAAGACGGCTAAACCTAATCTAGCTAGGTCGGCGCCGGTCTTGGGCTTGAATTGTGCGGATTGGGCTTCAAAAACGGCTTCGGGTCGACCGCGGCGTTTGGACGGTCGTGCGGGACGGTCGGCCGGACAGTCGGGTCTTTGGNTACGGTCGTGCGGGACGATCGGCCGCACAATCGGGTTGTGGCCGAGTCGGAACGGTCGGGGCCGGATGGATTCACGGTCAGCCGGCTTGGTCGGGCGGATAGATGTTTGGCCGATGAAATCTCTCGGCCGGACGCGAGGCGTTACTCCCCGGGTCGTACGAAGTGTTCGTGCGCGGTACGTGAGCGAGTTGTGCGGCCGCGAGGCGTTACTCCCCGGCTCGCACGCTTTGGTCGTGCGCGGTTGTGGCGTGGCCGGTTGTGGCGTGGCCGACCGCGGGCTTGAGTTTCCCGGGTCGTGGAGCGTGATCGGCCGAGCGATATTGGACTTTGGCCGAGATTTTAGTCGGACGGACACAGCTTTGGCCGAGCTTTGGCTTTGACTTTAACAAGGGTGAGGTTAACTCTAGATTGCTTGGTTACCTTAGAAATTTCGCTGAGCTAGCATGCCGATCCACTCTAGGAGCTTCTGTTAGGCTTGTGCCTTCAGCTGATGTTTGCTCTAGGGTCATAGATTGTTAGCATGACACTATCAAATCTCAAAGCAAGTTCATTGTTCCCGGACTGGTTTTGACTCAATAAAACAGAAGTTTTGAAAAAGTGGGTTAGGAAAAACCAATTATAAGATCAAAACAACCATGAACAAACACATTAGTACCGACAATCCCCCCAGACTTAACTTGCACCGTCCCGGTGAAAGAAAATCCAATTAAGGGAGTTAAAGAAAGAGGTAATAAAGTGGTTGTGAATGTAAAAAGAAAGATGTAACCTGATTTGTGTTACTTGAAGAATGGTGAATGCAGTGGAATGATGGTAGTGATGGAATGCAAGTGTGGTGAGGTGGGATGGGTGAGATGCAGATGGAATGAGATGGGATGGTGTGTTGGGCGGCTTGAGAGGACATGGGCGAGCGTGGAGAGGTTCTGCTCGGCCATCAAGTCGCGCCAACTATGAACATTCTTCTTTGTGGTATATCTTCTTTACCATTGTGTGGTTCTTAGATTCCTGTTTCCATCCAAAACTAGACATTAACTAAAACTAATTGAAAAGAAAAGTAAAGAAAAACACCTTTCATGGGTTGCCTCCCATGCAGCGCTTCTTTTGAGTCATTAGCTTGACTGATAGGATCTCTTAGTTGGAGATGGGGTAAGGGCACGGCCTGAGACATAGTCTTTTAGTTCTTGTCTCATTGTGACCTTGAGTGTGGTCTGGTGGCTCTCTTGGGCGGCCTTGGGCAGTGATGAGGTAAGACAGCTTGTTTGGTGAGATGAATGGTATGGTCTTGTAAAAGACTGTCTTGTCCACATTGGCTAAGGACATTCGCCGGTTTGGAAGGTCCATGACAGCTCCAGCAGTGGCCAAAAAGGGTCGGCCTAGTATCAATGGTGTGTCACATCCTCCTTGAATGTTTATGACATGAAAGTCCACCGGGATCTTGATATCTCCAATCTCTAGAAGAACATCAACAACAACTCCTCTTGGCTTGGCTATAGTATGGTTAGCAAGTCCAATACTAATTTGAGCAGGTTGCAAGCGTGTGATGCCAAGGAGTTTGGCGGTTTGGGTTGGCATGAGGTTTATGCAAGAGCCAGAATCGCATAGTGTTCTATCAAAGTAATGACCATTTACTTGACAGGGAATAGAGAATTGACCTGGGTCTTCAATCTTGTAGAGGGTCTTGAAGGTTGGCTGAACTTTAGCTTTCTCAAAAAGCTCTTTATGTCCTCAGGTGTCTCCTTGCAGTTGTGGAAGAAGGTGGTGAATGGGTAGTGGCGCCAAGCTGTTTGGAAAGACATGCTGGCTGGAAGAGTTTGGACAAACTGATTGAACTCAGCAAGCTTCTCTCTTGATATGGAATTGACATACCACTTGGGTGGTGGTGATGATGGTGGTGATGGTGGTTGATTGACTGCATGAGGGGCAAGGGGAAATCGTGCCTTCCTGAAAAGTTGGTGTATCTCTTCTTTGTTTTCACTAGTTGTGAAAAAGAACTCCACTAGACCATGTTTATCCCAAGCTTCTTCAAAAGTGACATAGAATGGAAGTGATTTCACCTTAGCATTGAACTCTTTAAGCTTCATGGGGCTTATCTTGTTGGGATCAATGGGATCATATGCCAAGTATCTTCTTCTTCAGTAGGTGGTGATGGTCTTTGCATTGCTTCCAATCTTGGAAGTGTAGAAGCTTGACTTCTTGGTGAGAAACGAGGGTCTCTAGGGCTAGGTGTATCCATGCTCTGTTTTGGGGAAGCATTGATGTCGATGCTCTGCTCTTCATCTTCATCATTCAATTGTTCCTCATACTCTCTTTCTTCTTCTTCATTCCTTCCTTGGACTTGAGTAGTGCTTCTTCTTGTGATGGCATTGCAATAAAAGGGAGGGTGGTTGGGTGTTGGACTCCTCTCTCTCTTGTAAGTTGGCATGAGATGATCCTTCAAGGGCTTGTAGGCGGTTGTAGATCGATCCAAGATGTTTGCTATTGCCATAGCTAGTATCTTCAATTCTCATGCTCTTGTTCAGCAACTCTTGATATTTGGAAGCAACATCAAGCTTAACTAGGGTCAAAGATCGATCATGATCCTCTCTTAACTTCTTAATGTCTTCATCAAGCTTGATCACTTGCTTGAATAGGACTTCAGATTTGTTTCCAAGGCTCTCATGGATGAAATCGATTCTTCTCCCATCTTCTTTGTACTCTCTTCTTGATTTCTCAAGTACTCTTGAAGCATATCTTCAATCTTGGTTTGGCGCGCAGCTTGATAGCTCTCCCTTGGGAAAAATGGTGTCTTGTTTATGTCTGGTGATGATGGATGGTGATGTGAATAGCTTGGGCGTGGTGGTGGGACATAAACAGGACCTTTCAAATCTGTGAGGAAAGCTCCTTTGAACTTAGCCCATTCCTTGGCTTGTCCAGCTAGTGATAGTTGGAAAAGTTGTATCTTCTTGGGGTTGTCTCCAAGTCCATAGTCATGACAAAGCTGCTCAAAGTTGCATAGATGCTCCTTTGCACATTCTGAAATAGAGTTGTAGAAAGGATTCCTCTCTACATGCTTGATTAGATCTTGATGATTAGGTGGTGTGCCTCCCCATTCTTCTTCATCACGCTCTCCTTCCAGATGATGAGAGTAGTGGTGGTACTTGGATTTGAAAGGTGGCTTCTTTGCAAACCATTCCAAGAAAGCATCTCTAAAATCGATCCATGACTCGATTCTAGATGGTGGTTCATGCTGCGCCCAATCTAGTTCTGGTCCAGCTAGTGATGTGCTGAATAGCATCATCTTCTTCTCAAAGTCAAAAACTCCATAGGAATCACATAGATTGTCAAAGTGATCTATGTGCTCCAATGCATGCTCTGAAAACAGATCATGGAATTGATCTCTCTTCACGAACTCGATCAGCTCGGGGTTAATCTCCTCTTCTGGTGTGGCTAGAAGGTATTCTTCTTGGTGTGATGCGGCTTGGTTAGACGTCTCCAGGTGGTGATGCGGAGTCAGGTTTTACCAAACTCCTAGACCTCTGCAAGTGCACAGATCGCGGAAGTATGGGTATCGAACACAAGGACTGGCTATTGAGTACACTTTGTAACTATGGATTTTGGATCAAGCTAAAACAAAAGTATGGTTTGAGGTTGTAATGGTGAACCGAACTAGCAAGTATAACGAGGTTGTAAACAATAAAGGAAAAGCGCTAGGTCATAGGGGCTATCGCAGAGAAGCAAGCAATGATCAATGAAACAATGATAGATTAATTGATTAGGGATATTGGGATATTAAGAACCATCTAGAACACAGATCACGAATATAAAACCATTCCACTTTCGAGGCTCCGGCTCCTTTGCTAATCTACCTAGTCGCTAAACTTTTGGTATGTCCCTAGGTGATTAATCAAGCATTAGAATGAATAGGTTCTGATACAGTTCACTAGATATAGATAGATCAACTTTCGCAGTCTAAGAAACCTAGCTTGTCAAAGAATATGTCCGGCGAATGATACAAGCACTGTCGAGGCTCAAATCAACCTAAGATCGGATTACTAGATGCGCGGTAAAGCAATCAGCATTAGTTAAGTGCACAAGACGAGACAAAGACTCTAATATAATCCCTAGCTAATCATTGAAATCAAAGATCATGCAAGCAACTCATTGAATAGTAACCCTAGCAACCTAACTAGTGGATTACTCAGACATGATCAAAGCAAACACACATAGAGATGAAGAAAACATGATTGCAATAAAACTTAGAGTAGGAAATCGAAATACAAGGGCGGCTCTCTTTCACAAGAGGCTAAAAAGCTATATATATAGTGCTAGGTCTTTCTAGAGGCGGCTTAGGGTTAAGCCGGGCTTGAAAATATAAGTTGGGCTTCAAAAGGGCTTCGGGTCGACCGCGGCGTTGGGACGGTCGTCGGGACGATCGGCCGGACAATCGGGTCGTGGCCGAGTCGGAACGGTCGTGGCCGGATGGATTCACGGTCGGCCGGCGTGGTCGGAGCGGATGAGATTTGGCCGAATTCTCGGCCGGACGTGGGACGTTCTTTCCCGGCTCGGACGGATGCATCGGCCGTGGTACGCGAACGGTTGCGCGGCCGCGAGGCTTGTTCCCGGCTCGCGCGCTTGGTCGTGCGCGGCGTGGCGTGAGCTTGCTTGGCCGACCGCGGGCATGTTTCCCGGGTCGTGATGCGTGATCGGCCGGTGGTTTGGACTTTGGCCGAGACTTCAGTCGGACGGATACGGTTTTGGCCGAGCGCGGAACATTCGTTCCTCGGCCAGCCGGACTGCGCGGTTGGGCGCTGATTCTCGATAGAGCCGTCTGGACAGTCTTCACTCTTTTGGTTATAACTCCTTTTCTACTCATCCAAATAGGCCGTTCCAGTTGCGTTGGAAAGTTAACTCAATCAGAGCACGCAGGGAACTGGTCTTGATGAAATCCATTGAGTAGATCTTTTTCTGGGCCCTCTTAAAGTTGGTGCTTGTGCATGGAGCGGCTTGAAGTGCAAATCCTATGGTTTTGCTCCAAAATGCATCATTTCACCTGTTTAGACTCTAGACACTATAAACACAGTAAAACTACCTTTTTAGATAGAAAACCTGCCAAAAACCATTAGAAAACAATGCTAAAACAGTATAAAAAGTAGGTAAATTAGAGGTATATCAACTCCCCCAGACTTAGATCTTTGCTTGTCCTCAAGCAAAAAGAATCTAAATCCGTGAAAGAGGTTTGAAAACGTGGAAGCTCCCTTGCTCTTTTGAATATCCTGTGAAAGGTTCCTTTCCTGTATTCCACTATGAACATAGACAACATAAGGTTAGCTTCACATACACCCTGCAAGTTTAGCGAACAATACCAACCCAACTAGTCTCATCCAGCAATCCAAACTCTCTATTGCTAACCTCTTGCATAAATTTAAAGCGTGAATTCTTTATCAAGGGGACATCGATCAATTGAACTTGTTCTTACCCACTTGATCCTCTCCAAGATTGCCTCTTTAAGTGCAATGAGTTCTTTTCCTCTCTCTTTCTCACATCAGAACTTTGAAAGGTCAATTTCTCCCTACTTTTCTAGGGTATCATTTTATTTTTTCTATTGACCCTTCTTTCAACCACAGGATAAGTCTTTAGCTTGTTCCTTGTTTGACTAAGGTATTCCATAAGACATGAAGGTACAGACATATGCATTCCTCATGCTTACTTGTTTTCCTTGTGCTCTTTGAGCTTTTTCTCATAAACATTACTTACCATTTGGGATGGGAGAGAGAGGAGAACTCTTTAAAGATTAGACAAATCTTATTGAAAATCAAGCAAGGAACTGTCGACATGTATGCCAACCCCCTTGACAAGAGTAATTAAGATTGATTAAGGGTGAGGTTAACTCTAGATTGCTTGGTTACCTTAGAAATTTTGCTGAGCTAGCATGTCGATCCACTGTAAGAGCTTCTGTTAGGCTTGTGCCTTTAGCTGGTTTCTGCTCTAGGGTCATGGATTGTTAGCATAACACTCTCAATTCTCAAAGCAAGTTCATAACTTCCGGACTGGTTTTTGACTCAATAAAACTTTTTGAAAAACATGAAACAAAGTGAATAAAACATAAGAAAAGAAAGAAAAATGCATTAGTAACACAATAAAACTCCCCCCAGACTTAACTTGCACCGTCCCGGTGAAAGCAAATCACATTAAGGTGAGAGGTAATATTCAAAGTAAAAGAAAAATAAAGAAAAATTCATTAAAATGAGATAGGGATAGAAAATGGAGATTTGTAAGTGTCCATTGCACTAAGTACCACTTGAGATGACTATGTGTGGCAGTGAGAAGAACTCTCTTCCTCATCTATGGGGTCATCGCCTTCTGAACCAAGCTCTGAGTCTAGTGAGAACTCACCAAGGTCAGGCTCATATGGCTCTCTAGCGGTGGAAGAAGGGCGAAAGAGTCTCTCCGGTGCAATGTGGCGAACTACACGGACTAGGCGTGAGATGAAGCGAGATTGGCATTCCACTATCTTCTCCAGCTTGTTAACACGGTCTAGAGCTTGATGCGCAGCCATGCCAGTAGTGAGAACATGGCGTTCTTGGAGCGGCGTTGAGTCTTGACTGCATGCTGAAGTGTGCGATAGGTGAGCATGGGGAATGATGGTTTCTCACTTGATGGAACATAGAATCTTCCTCATTGGGCTGGAAAGTGACAACTCCTGAGCGTAGGCTTGGGATGTCTCATGTGGCAGCAAGACAAGGGAAGTGTTGGCTGGACCAATTGGAAACTCATAGCAAAACCGAGTTGGGTCTTTAGTCCAACGGTTTAGGAAGTGGATGTGCTGAAGAGCATGGAGATCCAAAGGGGTTGGCTTGGGTAGTGGCTCATAGTTGGGAATGTCAATCCCCACATGCAGTACTATGGCCGTGATAAGCCTCCCAAAACGAACACAAAGCTTCTTGTTGCCTTCCAAGTCTTTGAGCTAGCTTCCTCACATTGATGAATGTCTTGGCAAGTAAAAGTCCAAGGTTGGCCTTGTACTCATGCTTGATGAATGGTGTGGTGAGGATGTAGAACTCATCAGTTGTGACCTTGTTGGCTTCTTGTTTGCATTGGAAAGTGGTGGAGATGAGGCGGTGCACATAGCGAATGGCTGGATGAGTGATTCTAGACACCTTTGACCTTGAAGGCAAGAATGGTTCATTGGCAAAGTGTGTCCAATCAGCAAAGGCAGCTTGTTTCCTCTTTGAGTTCTCCTTGAAGTCATGTGCTGTCTCATTGGGAAGTCCAAAGAGTTGGCATAGAGCTGAGATGGAGATGCGCCCATTGGCATCGCCTATCTTGAAGAGTAGGAGTCCATCACCAGCTGGTTGGTCTCCATTGTGGTTGGGAAAGGCAAGAGCTACTGTGGAGAGGAACTCCTTGGTGAGTTGTGAGTACTCACTACATTCTAGCTTGAAGAGCTTGCTCAAGCCTAGCTTCCTTATGTACCATGTGACATCATCTCTTATCTTGAGAAGATCAAGGGTTTGGGTGTCCATCTTCACACATGGTTCGATGTTCACCTTCTCCATTGCCTTCTTACACTTTCTTGGGTCTTGATTTTGTTCTCCAACAAAGGTTACAAGTGCCCAATCATCTTCTCCTCTTCTTGGACTCTCCACATGTTCTTGATTGCATCAATGGAATGTGGTGAAGTTGGTATTGCTGCTCTTGCATTGGAGCTACTACTCCCTAGCTTGATTTGCTTCTTTGGTGGTTCCATGAATGGGTTCTTCTTCTTCTTCATACTCTCATTTCCTTTTGTCTTTGCCATTGGTGTACCTACAAGAGCAAATTCTTGGGAAGAAATATGAGTTTGTGATTAATGCAAAAGAAGAATAAGCTAATTGAGTTGTAATAATGATATGGAATAAAGGAACAACTCAAGGCTTAATCATGAATCAAAGAGACAAAATAGAAATTTCACTTTTTCAAAATTAATTTTCGGATTTTACTGTTCATCCCAAGATTATGGTGCTTAAAATCAAAATTTTCAGCAAATCAAGAGAAATTGAGTTTCTAATCCAAGTAATCACTAGATAAACTAATGAATTGAAGTATGCCTAAGCAATTTCACCTTTGAATAAGGGGTTTGGAATGCCCAATAAGTTTTGTGAAAAACTATTCAATTGTGAAATTAAACTTCAAATTAACTCTAAACCACCTAGGTTCCACCTAGCAAAGTTCATTACAAGACTATAAGGATGCTAATTTCAAGTCTAGACAAGAGTTTAGACCAAACATGAAACTTATTGAGATTTTCGATCTTGCATAAACATAGGATTAGAGTTAGAAGACATACCTTGTGTGTTGAAAAGTGAATAAGGTTGCAAGAGCAAGTAAATTCCAATTTAGAGTTATGAACAGTAAAAGTTTTGAAATCAAAACTCTTAGAGTTCCTCTAATGGAGTTTAGGGTTTTGGAGAAGAAAGAGAGGTTCTTGTGGTTTTCAAGGGAAAGGTAAAGTAAATAAGATCTAAATCCTATCAATTTTCCTTTTCAAATTCGAATTTTGATTGAAAACCGGTTTAAGTTGGTTTAGATTGGTTAAAACCGGTTTGAATTAATGAAAAGGGGACTTACCTTGGCCTAGAAAAGTTTGGGCCGATGGCCGATGGATTTTGTCGCGGTCGAGCGATTTGGTCGGCCAAATTGTTTTGGCCGAGAGAATTTCGGCCGAGGCCGAGCGATGTTTCCCGGATCGACCGGCACGGTCGGTCCGTTCCGATACGAAAATCGGCCGAGCGCGCCGTTTCTTCTGTTCGCGTTCGCGCGCGATCGTGTCGCGCGTAATCCGGCCGAGCACGGCCGTTCCTTCCCGGCTCGACCGAACGGTCGTCGCGATGGAAATCTCGGCCAAAATTTCTTTGCGCGTCGCGGCCAATTTGGTTTGGCGCGGATTGTGTTTTCACACCTTTTTCTCCTTCTATCCTATCTTAAAACAAAGAAAACACAAAAGCAAAACAAAAACTAAGAAATTAAAGAAAGAAAAGTAAAAGTACCTCATGGGTTGCCTCCCATGCAGCGCTTGTTTTAAGTCTTTAGCTTGACTGTAAGGCTTGGCGCTCAGGAGAAGATGGAGACAAGAGGCATCTTTGATCCTCCAAGTCTTTTCTCCTTGCAATGAGTATCTGGTGGGTGATTCACAGCTGGATAGACAATCTCTCCATGAATGTCCCTTGGCACTACTGCCTTAGGAAAAAGCTTTAGAGTTCTTGTCACTTTCTCCTTGAATCCTTCTAGATTCTCATCAATAAGCTCCTTTGGGAATAGAAGCTTCATGTTGCGGCCAGACCTAGGTTTTCTAACCTTCCTTCTTGGCTTGGCCTCATCTTCAATCTTGGTTGATCCCTTGGGCGGTTTTGGTGTAGGGGCCTTAGTCTTACTCCTTGCTTGTTTGGCAAGCTGCTTGGGCTTAGGAATGGGATCTTCCTTGATTGTTTCTTCAGTTTCTCCTTCTTGGGGTGGCTTCAAAGTAACTTTCTCCTCTTGGACCATGTCAACAAAAGAGTTCTTTGTTGAACACATAGGGAAGAACATACCCTTGTTCACCTTGTTGAAAGAGATTCTTTGATTGGGGAAATCAAATATGGCACCCACAGTAGACAGGAAAGGGGTTCCAAATATGAGAGGTCTATGGCTACTCTCTCTCATTTCCACAATCTGGAAATCAGTAGGGATAGAGCAATTTCCAATCTGCACCATCACATTAGGCACAAAGCCATAGGGGTTTGTGAGAATGAATCAGCATAGTTGATGGAGATGGATGATGGCTCTATCTTGGTGAGGCCTATCTTGTCAGCTATCCTCTTAGACATGATGTTCACATTGGCTCCTGTGTCACACAAAGATTGCTCAAGAATGTTACCTTTGATGATACAAGGCACACAAACTTTCCTGAGTTATCTGTCTTGGGGATAATCTTTGGGAAGAGTCTTCTCTTTCTAGCTCGATTGGACTCTCTCTCTGGGTAATTCTCTTCAGGCCAAATCATGCAATCAACAGTAGGTTTTGAAAGCATCCATTCTGGAACTTGGTCTTCAAATCTTTCTTCTATGGCGGCTGAGTTGCAAAAGGACTTCTTGGATTCAGCTTCCTGTCTCTTAACAGCTTCCATAGTTTGAGTGACTTGAGTCTCTAGTTTCTTCACATGAGTGGCAACAGCATCATACTTGGTGTTGAGATTGCTGAACAAAGTGTCCATCTTCTCATACATCTCTTTAGTGTTTCTCTTCTGGCCATCCATGATCTGTTGGAGGATTCCTTCAAATCTCCCACCTTGTTGGTTTGGAGGAGCTTGATTTGGTGAAGAAGCATATGGCTCCTTGGGCGGATATGATGATCTCTGCTCATATCCTTGCCTTGGCTGAAATTGACTTCCTTGAGATTGGTAAGGAGGTCTTTGTTGTTGTGGATACCTTGGAGGATACACTTGGTCTTGAGGATTCTCCACATTGGGGTTTCTATAAGACATGTTGGGGTTTGGGCGATAGCTTGGATTGTATCCCTTGTTCCCATAGTTTCCAATGTAGTTCACATCTTCTTCATTGGCTTCATTAGAGAAATCTCCCATGCATTCTCTTGATGAATCTTCATTAGCATCACTCATCCCTTCTATTGCATTGATATGCTTGAGCTGTCCCTTAAGAACTTGAGCCATCATGTTCTTGAGTTCAGTCATTTGAAAAGAATCAGGGGAGCTAGTAGTGGTGCGGCTTGAGCGGTCATAATCAGGACAGTTGTTACAATCACTAGCTGCAAGATTCTCAATAAGAACCTTAGCTTCATCAACAGTCTTGGTCATGAAGTTTCCATTGCTTGCTGTGTCCAATGAAAGCTTGTACTTGTGGTCTATGCCACGATAGAAGATGTTCCATAGGTTTCCCTCATTGAAACCATGATTAGGGCAGTCCCTAATGTACTCCTTGAATCGATCTAGCGCCTCATAGAAAGATTCATTGTTGCTTGGCGAAAGTGGAGATCTTGTTTCTCACAGAAATTGATCTCTGTTTGGTGTAGAAGTGGTTGATGAATGCAGCCTTGTACTCATCCCAAGTGGTAATGGAGTGAGCTGGCAGAGACTTCAACCATCTTGAAGCTTTGTCGCCAAGAGAGAATGAAAAGAGCTTGCACTTAAGGTAGTCAGCAGAGACTCCATTGGATCTTGTAGTGCTGCAAATTTCTTCAAAGTTTTCTATGTGATCAAGAGGGTGCTCAGCTGGAAGTCCATTGAATTGGTTCTGTCTAACCAATGCAATGATCTGAGGCTTGATCTCATAGTCATTCCTTGCAGGAAGTGGTGGATGGATAGGGTTTCTATCCATGAAGAAAGCATCGGCAGAGTCATAGTCTCCGATTGTAGGTGCTCCAGCTTGGGGTTGTGCGTTCACATCTCCAGCAGGGTTAGGAGGAGGAGGAGGTGGATCTCTTCCTTCTTCTTGAGCGCGCGCCACTTCAGCGGCGTGAGCGCGAGCTGCTTCGTCGGCCATCTCTTGGGCTTTTGCTTCCTAAGTTGCTTCTCAAGCTTGTCTATCTCTGGATGTTCAACTAGGTTGTCCTTGTTGGACCTCCTAGTCATGCACCTGAAAAGAGTCTTGGAAACAAGTTAAATCAAAAGGGAAAAACAAAAACAAAAGAAAAATCAAAGAAAAGGAAATCAAAAACTAAAAATTCAAAAGCAAAAGAAAAGCAAAACAGGAAAAGGTTCTAGACTAGATCCTAGTCGAGTTCCAAAGGTACAGTGCTGTCAGGTTTTACCCTCCTAGACCTCTGCAAGTGCACAGATCGCGGAAGTATGGGTATCGAACACAAGGACTGGCTATTGAGTACACTTTGTAACTATGGATTTTGGATCAAGCTAAAACAAAAGTATGATTGAGGTTGTAATGGTGAACCGAACTAGCAAGTATAACGAGGTTGTAAACAATAAAGGAAAAGCGCTAGGTCATAGGGGCTATCGCAGAGAAGCAAGCAATGATCAATGAAACAATGATAGATTAATTGATTAGGGATATTGGGATATTAAGAACCATCTAGAACACAGATCACGAATATAAAACCATTCCACTTTCGAGGCTCCGGCTCCTTTGCTAATCTACCTAGTCGCTAAACTTTTGGTATGTCCCTAGGTGATTAGATCAAGCATTAGAATGAATAGGTTCTGATACAGTTCACTAGATATAGATAGATCAACTTTCGCAGTCTAAGAAACCTAGCTTGTCAAAGAATATGTCCGGCGAATGATACAGCACTGTCGAGGCTCAAATCAACCTAAGATCGGATTACTAGATGCGCGGTAAAGCAATCAGCATTAGTTAAGTGCACAAGACGAGACAAAGACTCTAATATAATCCCTAGCTAATCATTGAAATCAAAGATCATGCAAGCAACTCATTGAATAGTAACCCTAGCAACCTAACTAGTGGATTACTCAGACATGATCAAAGCAAACACACATAGAGATGAAGAAAACATGATTGCAATAAAACTTAGAGTAGGAAATCGAAATACAGGGCGGCTCTCTTTCTCAAGAGGCTAAAAATCCATATATATAGTGCTAGGTCTTTCTAGAGGCGGCTTAGGGTTAAGCCGGGCTTGAAAACATAAGTTTGGGCTTCAAAAGGGCTTCGGGTCGACCGCGGCGTTGGGACGGTCGTGCGGGACGATCGGCCGGACAATCGGGTCGTGGCCGAGTCGGAACGGTCGGGGCCGGACGGATTCACGGTCGGCCGGCGTGGTCGGACGGATGAGATTTGGCCGAAATTCTCGGCCGGACGTGGGACGTTCTTCCCGGCTCGGACGGATGCATCGGCCGTGGTACGCGGAACAGTTGCGCGGCCGCGAGGCTTGTTTCCCGGCTCGCGCGCTTTGGTCGTGCGCGGCGTGGCGTGGCGTTGCTTGGCCGACCGCGGGCTTAGTTTCCCGGGTCGTGATGCGTGATCGGCCGATGGTTTGGACTTTGGCCGAGACTTCAGTCGGACGGATACGGTTTGGCCGAGCGCGGAACATCGTTCCTCGGCCAGCCGGACTGCGCGGTTGGGCGCTGATTCTCGATAGAGCCGTCTGGACAGTCTTCACTCTTTTGGTTATAACTCCTTTTCTACTCATCCAAATTAGGCCGTTCCAGTTGCGTTGGAAAGTTAACTCAATCAGAGCACGCAGGGAACTGGTCTTGATGAAATCCATTGAGTAGATCTTTTTCTGGGCCCTCTTAAAGTTGGTGCTTGTGCATGGAGCTGCTTGAAGTGCAAATCCTATGGTTTTGCTCCAAAATGCATCATTTCACCTGTTTAGACTCTAGACACTATAAACACAGTAAAACTACCTTTTTAGATAGAAAACCTGCCAAAAACCATTAGAAAACAATGCTAAAACAGTATAAAAAGTGGGTAAATTAGAGGTATATCAGTCGGCTGCTTCAAGGTAAGGAAGAAGTTTCTTCTTTGTCTTCAAAGTGGATAGTCTTGGAGGACTATCCCATGAAGGTGGTGGTGCTTGAGGGCTTAACATCTCTTGTTCGCTCAAGAGGTGCTTTGAGGTGGTATGTGGCGAATTGGCATCGCCTTTATAGGGGAAGAGGCTTGTGGCTCCTTCTCCATATCTAACTAGGAAAACCTGAAAAGCTAAAAACAAAAAGGAAAAACCAAAAAAGGAAAAACAAAATCAAAGAAAAAGGAAATAACAAAAACAAAAAGGAAAAGTGAAAACCCTAGACTAGCTCTCTTGCAAGACTTGTAGGTGCGAATTGGTCCCCGGCAACGGCGCCAAAAACTTGATCGCGGGATCAGGTCTTCCCCTTTCCTATCCCTGATTCTGCAAGTGCACAGGTCAGAAGTAGTAAACGGGTATCGAACACAAGGACCAGATTGCACACTACAAGTTATGAGTTTGAGATCAAGCTAGGGCAAAAGTATAAGTTGGTTGAGTGCAGAGAAAGTAAAGCATGCAAGTAATAAAGTGAGATTCAATAGGAGAGAAAGGCTAAGCAATAGGATAGTCTTGAGATAAGCAATTCAAGAAGCATGAAATCAATCAATTAGGGTTACCGCACTTAGGTGCTAATCTAGAACTTGAAACACTATGGTATGATCATTCCACTGTCGAGGCTCCGACCCCTTTGTTAATCTACCTAGTCGCTAAACTTTTGGTATGTCCCTAGGTGATTAAATCAAGCATTAGTTCGATCAAGATCAATTGTTCACAACCTACAAGTAGATCAACTGTCGCAGTCTAAAAGAGATTGCCCACCAAATACTAGTTCAGGCGAATGATACAGCACTGTCGAGGCTCAAATCAACCTAAAGGCATATGCTAATTGGCCAGATTAACAACAAGCATTAAGTATAAGCAAAGATGGAGATTATAAGTAAAACCCTAATTGTGATCAATCATCAAGCATACATGAATGCTATCCTTTGACTTCCTATCACTTAACAAGTAAACTACTCAGACATAGAGAAGGAAACGAATTCATATTCATAAGAACAGAGATTCGAATCCTCTCTAGAAAGAGTAACAAGCAAGAACAAAGTAAAAGCAAGCAAAACTTTATTAAGATGTAAAATAGATTGTGGTCTCTCTCCTTCTTGAGTTACAAGGCTAAAAAGAAGTATTTATAATGCTCTAAGTATAAGAAGCGGCTAAACCTAATCTAGCTAGGTCGGCGCCGGCTTTGGGCTTGAATTGTGCGGATTGGGCTTCAAAAACGGCTTCGGGTCGACCGCGGCGTTCGGACGGTCGGTCGGGACGATCGGCCGGACAGTCGGGTTGTGGCCGAGTCGGAACGGTCGTGGCCGGATGATTTCACGGTCGGCCGGCTTGGTCGGCGGATAGATTTGGCCGATGGTTTCTCGGCCGGACGTGGGACGTTTTCCCGGCTCGGACGGAATGTGGTACGCGAGTTGCGCGGCCGCGAGGCGTTTCCCGGCTCGCGCGGCATGGTCGTGCGCGGCGTGGCGTGGCGTGGCTGTGGCTTGGCCGACCGCGGGCAGTTTCCCGGGTCGTGATGCGTGATCGGCCGACGGTTTGAACTTTGGCCGAGACTTCAGTCGGACGGACGGTTTTGGCCGAGCGCGGAACATTCGTTCCTCGGCCAGCCGGTCTGCGCGTTCGGCGCTGATTCTCGATATGGCCGTCTGGAGCAGTCCTTCACTCTTTTGGCTATAACTCCTTTTCTACTCATCCAAATGGCCGTTCCAGTTGCGTTGGAAAGTTAACTCAATCAGAGCACGCAGGGAACTGGTCTTGATGAAATCCATTGAGTAGATCTTTTTCTAGCTCCATCCAAAGTTGATGCAGGGGCATTGAACTGGTTTAGAGTCCAAATCTCCTGTTTTGCTCCATAATGCACCTTTTTACCTAAAATGACTCTTTGCACTATAAATCCATAAAAACTACCTTTTAACACAAGAATCCACTAGAAAACCATTAGAAAACCATAGTAAAATAGCATAAAAAGTAGGTAAAATAGAGGTATATCAGCCAATCCATGATCGCTCCAGCTGTGGCTAGGAATGATCTTCCAAGCAAAAGCTTTAAGTCCTCCGGATCCTTCATGGTTACTACATAGAAGTTGGCTGGAACTATGCAGCCTCCAAAATCAAGCTGAATGTCTTTAACCTCTCCAAGTGGTTCGGTCAATGATGAATCAGCTAGCTTTAAATCCATTCGAGATTTCACAATTGAATTGATCAATCCCAACTTCTTGGCTATCTCGGCCGGCATAAGGTTCACACTAGAACCGGAATCGCAAAGAGCATCATCAAAGTAGCTTCCATTGATAGAGAAATGTATAAGGAAGTAACCTGGGTCATGAAGCTTGTGTAGAAACCTAGGTTTAGGCATTCCCTTTCTTGCTTCCTCGTACATCTTTTCCAATTCAGCTAGACTCCAATCTTGTGTCCAAGCTAGGTCTTGCATGAATGGACTCTTGTTGCAAGCATTATCAAACGGCACACCATAAGGGAATCTCCTTGCCATAAAGTTGAAATCATCTATGATCTCTTCAAGTGATGATCTTGTCTTCCTCTTCTCCTTGGTGGGAGGCGGTTGTGAAGACCTTTGAGTAAGGGTTCTTCCTTTTGGTGCTATCTTCTCTCTTGTTCCAGTGGTTAGCCTTGTGGCTCTTTCTTGATCAGCTCTACTCTCTTCTTCATCCCAAATCACTCTTGGGTCGGTCTCTCTTATAGTAAAGACGGGCGCGGCATGGTTGTGCTTACCGGTCGTCTTTGCCTCGGTCAAGACCTTCTCTTCCAAGTTGGCTAAGCGAGTGGTTAAATCCTTGACTTCCTTGGAGACTCCATCTACTTTGTCTTCAAGCCCTCTAGCTCTTCTTTGAATATCTTGGCTCCTCTTGTCTAGAGAGATGTAAATCTCGGATTTGTGCCTTCACTTGTTTTTGCCCTTCCACCAATGTAAGCATCGTCGAGTAACATTGCCTCTCCTTTAGGGTTACTTCGGCTACCTCCCTCTTAGCTTGATGAGCTACTGCTGTTATTGAATTGAGACTCTTGGTGGTGCCATCGAGGTTGTTATCAAGACTTGTGATCTTCTCATCTAAGTGATTGTCCATCTCCTTGGTGGAAACTTTGGTAAAGTGTATCGCTCTCCTATTGTCTTCAATGGCCTCGCCTTGCTTCTTCAAATCTTCCTCCATGTCCAAGCATCTTGACTCTACTCTCTCTATTTGGGTAGAGAGTTCTCCAAGTCTTCCATCTAGTTCGTATCGCGTGAACTCTAGCTTTGTTTCAATGTCGCGGCTAGTTTTTCTTTGGCTCTCCATGAAACCCTCAAGCACGGCATCGAAATGACTATCTCTCCGCCTATTGAGAACATGGTCGTGGTGTGAATGCAACACTGGTCTAGGTGGTTGATGATAAACCGGAGGTCGGTTTTGATGATGATGGTAATGATGCTCGTCTCGGCTAGGTCCTTCAAACGTCGGATGAGCGCGGTTGGGAGGGAACGGATGTGGCACGATGTTACGGCTGGGTCTTGGTAAACCCGGCCGTGGAGATCGTGTGGGATCAGTGTCCGGTTCCCAAAGTGGATGTTGGTGTTGTGATTCATCTCCAAGTACCTATAAACACAAGATAAAAGAAAAAGTTAGTATTCGAAAATACCAAGATCTAGACTTAGTTTTAAACAAGACTATGCAAGTGTTTATGATGCAATCCCCGGCAACGGCGCCAAAAACTTGATGCGGCATCTATGGGATGAGTACAAGTAATAATTCCCTAAGACAACTAGTGTTGCAAGTGCACAACATATAATTGTAGTATTTAGGGGTCGAACCACAAGGGATTGGATTTCACACATTACATAATCATAGAGTTTAAATGACTAAGCTAAATCAAAGATGCAAGGGTTTGTGTTTGTTGAGAACACACAAAAGAAATAACAATGCAATTCTATACAAGCAACATTATTGAACTATTGAAAACTCTTTTGAAAACATGAGCCAAGTCGATTGAAAAGTTTGTTAAAATCCGATTCTTTTGAACTCAAAACACTAAGGAAGGATTATTCCACTTTCGTGGTTCCAATCCCCTATGTCTCTTAAACCAATGGGCTCAGCTTTCGTTGGTCATTGTAGAGTGAGACATGCATTACATCCAAGTAATGATTGTTCACAAAACTCTTTAGGTCTACTTTCGTAGCCTAAAACGATTTGCCCATCAAATACTATATCCGGAGATATAACAAGCTTTTGGAGAGTATATCAACCTAAAATCAAGTCACTAGTTAGCTACTCTAGCAACAAGCATTAAGCATAAATAAAGATGGAGAACCATAGGGTTTCCCCTTTTAACAATCGATTTTCGATGGCCATTATATCACGTCCTCATTGGAAGGATCCATAATTCAACAATGAGTCTTAGATAGTAGATGAAGTCTCATGAATCCTTAGAGAGAGAGGCGGCGGAATATGGACTAAACCACGCCTCACCCTTAGGGAGAAATCTCTACTTCTAGACTATATAAATTGAAACATGCAAGCTATATACAAATGCAAAAGAAGAAAAGAAAGAAGAAGGAGACCACCTAAGTGGCTCCGAACTTTATTGAATAAGTGTTTCTTGTTATGCGGCTGGTGATTCTTATTACAAGAGGCTAAAAGCAAGTATATATAGGTAGAGAGCGGGTCTAGGTCGGCAAAGTTGAGCGCGCGCAGAAGAGGAAAGTTTCCATTTCTCTTTAGCCGCTTGAGCTTGCTCTCCAAGTTCTTGAATGGGCCGCGTTCAGGCCAATGGAAGCTTCTGGATTGAGTTATGCTAGTGTCAAGATGAGCCAAGGCCTTGGGCGCGGTATCTCGGGCCTCTTGATCCATCAAAGTCTCCATGGGCTCTACTTAGGCGCTCGTCGGACATGTCTTGGTAGAAAATAAGTTCCGGTCCAACGAGTGATCCAAATGACCTCTTTCCACTTCGCCGCGGGTCATGACTCAAATATCTATCTTTCCATATAAGAATCATGACTTTTGGACGTCGGGAAGGCATGAATATGCGGTCGTACTTCGGATGCTCCGGTTTGGTCTTTAGCGAGAAATAGATTTGGTGCTCTAGACTTGGGAACTTGGTGATTTGACTCTTTTTGCTCCATTTTGACTCTTCTTTGCTATTTTGACCTGAATGATGCTCAAAACCAGAATATACAAGAAAACTACCTCTTGGGCTAAAAACCACATTATTTGTATTGAAAACATAGTGAAAACCTTGGTAAAAACATGAAAGATATGGATATATCACACTAGCAACCTAACAAAATGAAATGCAACGCAGAAATGTAAAGAAAAGCAGTAGAGCAACAGCTCGACCAAGGACTCGAGTCGAGTTGGAACAGAGTACCGAGCTCGATCGAGTTTAGGGTCGAGTTAGTAAAAAGCAATAAAGGCAGCGACTTTACAAGCTAATGCGAGAATTAGGGTTCAAGACAGGGTTTTGCAATTAGGGGAAGCTACACTTAATCGATCTGCTCTTAAAACTCCTTGTATCAAGGCTTCTCTTGATATTGGGCTTCTCAATGCCTAGCCAACCCTTTCCCAAGGTGGAGGCTATCAACCAAGGAATGATCTCAGAAACAGGGGGTTAGCCAGTGAGAATCAAACCTTGGAGGCCATAGGATCATTGCCCAAACTAATCCATCCAACCCCTTGAATCCATTTCGAGAGCAAGAGTTATTGGAGCTCTTAGTGGATATTTTCCAGCGATTTCCATCACTTCCATGTGGAGAATCGCCTAATGACATACAAGCCAGGGGTAGTGGTCATGTAGCCTTAAGATTTATCCAAAAGAGAGAGAATCTAGATTAAGACCATAAGCAAGAAGGATTAAGCATATGAAACCCCTAATCTATCCCATCTCAAACCCTAATGGGTAACTACTCACTACACATGAATGTAAACACAAGCAAATGCAATGAAATAAACTCATAAGAAAGAGGAGATAAAATAAACAACTTTTATTGAAATAAGCAAGTGCAAATACAAAAGAGATTATCCAGGATCTAGGATTCAAGAAGCAAGAGCTTCAAGAACACAAAGATGGGATTAGAGCTCTAAAAAGTAAAAGACAATAATTAAAAGAAACTAAAACAAAAAGTAATCTAAAGCTTGGTGGTTTTTTCGTGGCTTTTAGCCCTTAAATACAAAGAGGATTAGGTTTAGGGTCAAAGGAAAGTCAAGGGGGAAGCAACATTTTTCGGGTTTGACTTTGACTTCTCAGCTCGATCGAGTTGAAGCTTGGCCGGTCGAGTTGAGGAACTCGACCGGTTGGTCGAGTAGATGGTCGAGCTGGTCTTCAAGATGGCTTCCTCCTTCTTCCTTTGCGTATCCAGTTGAGCTGCGTCCATGCGCCAAGTCCTTCCATGCTCCTCACGTCCCATATGCTCCAGAATGCTCCAAAAGACCTATTTCAAAGGACCAATCCGAAGCCGTTTTTGAAGCCCAATCCGCACAATTCAAGCCCAAAGCCGGCGCCGACTTAGCAAGATTAGGTCTAGCCGCTTTTTCATACTTAGTGCATTATAAATACTTCTTTTTAGCCTTGTAACCCAAGAAGGAGAGAGACCACAATATACTTTACATCTTTAATAAAATTTTGCTTGCTTTTACTTTGTTCTTGCTTGTGCTCTTTCTAGAGAGGATTCGAATCTCTGTTCTTGTGAACCTTTTTCCTGTTTTACTTTTCTTTTGCTTTTGAATTTTCAGTTTTTGATTTCCTTTTCTTTGATTTTTGCTTTTGTTTTTGTTTTTCCCTTTTGATTTAACTTGTTTCCAAGACTCTTTTCAGGTGCATGACTAGGAGGTCCAACAAGGACAACCTAGTTGAACATCCAGAGATAGACAAGCTTGAGAAGCAACTTAGGAAGCAAAAGCCCAAGAGATGGCCGACGAAGCAGCTCGCGCTCACGCCGCTGAAGTGGCGCGCGCTCAAGAAGAAGGAAGAGATCCACCTCCTCCTCCTCCTAACCCTGCTGGAGATGTGAATGCACAACCCAAGCTGGAGCACCTACAATCGGAGACTATGACTCTGCCGATGCTTTCTTCATGGATAGAAACCCTATCCATCCACCACTTCCTGCAAGGAATGACTATGAGATCAAGCCTCAGATCATAGCATTGGTTAGACAGAACCAATTCAATGGACTTCCAGCTGAGCACCCTCTTGATCACATAGAAAACTTTGAAGAAATTTGCAGCACTACAAGATCCAATGGAGTCTCTGCTGACTACCTTAAGTGCAAGCTCTTTTCATTCTCTCTTGGCGACAAAGCTTCAAGATGGTTGAAGTCTCTGCCAGCTCACTCCATTACCACTTGGGATGAGTACAAGGCGCTTTCATCAACCACTTCTACACCAAGCAAGATCAATTTCTGTGAGGAACAAGATCTCCACTTTCGCCAAGCCAACAATGAATCTTTCTATGAGGCGCTAGATCGATTCAAGGAGTACATTAGGGACTGCCCTAATCATGGTTTCAATGAGGGAAACCTATGGAACATCTTCTATCGTGGCATAGACCACAAGTACAAGCTTTCATTGGACACAGCAAGCAATGGAAACTTCATGACCAAGACTGTTGATGAAGCTAAGGTTCTTATTGAGAATCTTGCAGCTAGTGATTGTAACAACTGTCCTGATTATGACCGCTCAAGCCGCACCACTACTAGCTCCCCTGATTCTTTTCAAATGACTGAACTCAAGAACATGATGGCTCAAGTTCTTAAGGGACAGCTCAAGCATATCAATGCAATAGAAGGGATGAGTGATGCTAATGAAGATTCATCAAGAGAATGCATGGGAGATTTCTCTAATGAAGCCAATGAAGAAGATGTGAACTACATTGGAAACTATGGGAACAAGGGATACAATCCAAGCTATCGCCCAAACCCCAACATGTCTTATAGAAACCCCAATGTGGAGAATCCTCAAGACCAAGTGTATCCTCCAAGGTATCCACAACAACAAAGACCTCCTTACCAATCTCAAGGAAGTCAATTTCAGCCAAGGCAAGGATATGAGCAGAGATCATCATATCCGCCCAAGGAGCCATATGCTTCTTCACCAAATCAAGCTCCTCCAAACCAACAAGGTGGGAGATTTGAAGGAATCCTCCAACAGATCATGGATGGCCAGAAGAGAAACACTAAAGAGATGTATGAGAAGATGGACACTTTGTTCAGCAATCTCAACACCAAGTATGATGCTGTTGCCACTCATGTGAAGAAACTAGAGACTCAAGTCACTCAAACTATGGAAGCTGTTAAGAGACAGGAAGCTGAATCCAAGAAGTCCTTTTGCAACTCAGCCGCCATAGAAGAAAGATTTGAAGACCAAGTTCCAGAATGGATGCTTTCAAAACCTACTGTTGATTGCATGATTTGGCCTGAAGAGAATTACCCAGAGAGAGAGTCCAATCGAGCTAGAAAGAGAAGACTCTTCCCAAAGATTATCCCCAAGACAGATAACTCAGGAAAGTTTGCTGTGCCTTGTATCATCAAAGGTAACATTCTTGAGCAATCTTTGTGTGACACAGGAGCCAATGTGAACATCATGTCTAAGAGGATAGCTGACAAGATAGGCCTCACCAAGATACAGCCATCATCCATCTCCATCAACTATGCTGATTCATTCTCACAAACCCCCTATGGCTTTGTGCCTAATGTGATGGTGCAGATTGGAAATTGCTCTATCCCTACTGATTTCCAGATTGTGGAAATGAGAGAGAGTAGCCATAGACCTCTCATATTTGGAACCCCTTTCCTGTCTACTGTGGGTGCCATATTTGATTTCCCCAATCAAAGAATCTCTTTCAACAAGGTGAACAAGGGTATGTTCTTCCCTATGTGTTCAACAAAGAACTCTTTTGTTGACATGGTCCAAGAGGAGAAAGTTACTTTGAAGCCACCCCAAGAAGGAGAAACTGAAGAAACAATCAAGGAAGATCCCATTCCTAAGCCCAAGCAGCTTGCCAAACAAGCAAGGAGTAAGACTAAGGCCCCTACACCAAAACCGCCCAAGGGATCAACCAAGATTGAAGATGAGGCCAAGCCAAGAAAGAAGGTTAGAAAGCCTAGGTCTGGCCGCAACATGAAGCTTCTATTCCCAAAGGAGCTTATTGATGAGAATCTAGAAGGATTCAAGGAGAAAGTGACAAGAACTCTAAAGCTTTTTCCTAAGGCATTTGTGCCAAGGGACATTCATGGAGAGATTGTCTATCCAGCTGTGAATCACCCACCAGATACTCATTGCAAGGAGAAAAGACTTGGAGGATCAAAGATGCCTCTTGTCTCATCTTCTCCTGAGTGCCAAGCCTTACAGTCAAGCTAAAGACTTAAAACAAGCGCTGCATGGGAGGCAACCCATGAGGTACTTTTACTTTTCTTTCTTTTTTTCTTAGTTTTTGTTTTGCTTTTGTGTTTTCTTTGTTTTGAGATAGGATAGAAGGAGAAAAAGGTGTGAAAACACAATCCGCGCCAAACATTGGCCGCGGACGCGCAAAAGAGAATTTTGGCCGAGCAATTTCCAACCGGGCCGACCGTTACGGTCGAGCCGGGAAGGAATGGCCGTGCTCGGCCGGATTTCTATCGCGCGACAGAAACCGTTCGCGCGGCACGCACGAACCGGGAAAGAATAGGCCGCGATCGGCCGAAACGTATCGGAACGGACCGACCGTACCGGTCGATCCGGGAAACAAACGCTCGGCCTCGGCCGAAATCTCTCGTCCATTCGCAATTTGGCCGACCAAATCGCACGGCCATAACAAAATTCTCTCGGCCATCGGCCAAAAATTTTCTCGGGCACGGTATCCAATGGCAAAGACAAAAGGAAATGAGAGTATGAAGAAGAAGAAGACCCATTCATGGAACCACCAAAGAAGCAAATCAAGCTAGGGAGTAGTAGCTCCAATGCAAGAGCAGCAATACCAACTTCACCACATTCCATTGATGCAAGTCAAGAACATGTGGAGAGTCCAACAAGAGGAGAAGATGATTGGGCACTTGTAACCTTTGTTGGAGAACAAATCCAAGACCCAAGAAAGTGCAAGAAGGCAATGGAGAAGGTGAACATCGAACCTTGTGTGAAGATGGACACCCAAACCCTTGACCTTCTCAAGATAAGAGATGATGTCACATGGTACATAAGGAAGCTAGGCTTGAGCAAGCTCTTCAAGCTAGAGTGTAGTGAGTACTCACAACTCACCAAGGAGTTCTCTCCACAGTAGCTCTTGCCTTTCCCAACCACAATGGAGACCAACCAGCTGGTGATGGACTCCTACTCTTCAAGATAGGCGATGCCAATGGGCGCATCTCATCTCAGCTCTATGCCAACTCTTTGGACTTCCCAATGAGACAGCACATGACTTCAAGGAGAACTCAAAGAGGAAACAAGCTGCCTTTGCTGATTGGACACACTTTGCCAATGAACCATTCTTGCCTTCAAGATCAAAGGTGTCTAGAATCACTCATCCAGCCATTCGCTATGTGCACCGCCTCATCTCCACCACTTTCCAATGCAAACAAGAAGCCAACAAGGTCACAACTGATGAGTTCTACATCCTCACCACACCATTCATCAAGCATGAGTACAAGGCCAACCTTGGTCTTTTACTTGCCAAGACATTTATCAATGTGAGGAAGCTAGCTAAAGACTTGGAAGGCAACAAGAAGCTTTGTGTTCGTTTTGGGAGGCTTATCACGGCCATAGTACAACATGTGGGGATTGACATTCCCAACTATGAGCCACTACCCAAGCCAACCCCTTTGGATCTCCATGCCCTTCAGCATATCCACTTCCTAAACCGTTGGACTAAAGACCCAACTCGGTTTTGCTATGAGTTTCCAATTGGTCCAGCCAACACTTCCCTTGTCTTGCTGCCACATGAAGACATCCCAAGCCTACGCTCAGGTGTTGTCACTTTCCAGCCCAATGAGGAAGACTTCTATGTTCCATCAAGTGAGAAACCATCATTCCCCATGCTCACCTATCGCACACTTCAGCATGCAGTCAAGACTCAACGCCGCCACCAAGAACGCCATGTTCTCACTACTGGCATGGCCGCGCATCAAGCTCTAGACCGTGTTAACAAGCTGGAGAAGATAGTGGAGTGCCAATCTCGCTTCATCTCACGCCTAGTTCGCGTAGTTCGCCACATTGCACCGGAGAGACTCTTTCGCCCTTCTTCCACCGCTAGAGAGCCATATGAGCCTGACCTTGGTGAGTTCTCACTAGACTCAGAGCTTGGTTCAGAAGGCGATGACCCCATAGATGAGGAAGAGAGTTCTTCTCACTGCCACACATAGTCATCTCAAGTGGTACTTAGTGCAATGGACACTTACAAATCTCCATTTTCTATCCCTATCTCATTTTAATGAATTTTTCTTTATTTTTCTTTTACTTTGAATATTACCTCTCACCTTAATGTGATTTGCTTTCACCGGGACGGTGCAAGTTAAGTCTGGGGGGAGTTTTATTGTGTTACTAATGCATTTTTCTTTCTTTTCTTATGTTTTATTCACTTTGTTTCATGTTTTTCAAAAAGTTTTATTGAGTCAAAAACCAGTCCGGAAGTTATGAACTTGCTTTGAGAATTGAGAGTGTTATGCTAACAATCCATGACCCTAGAGCAGAAACCAGCTAAAGGCACAAGCCTAACAGAAGCTCTTACAGTGGATCGACATGCTAGCTCAGCAAAATTTCTAAGGTAACCAAGCAATCTAGAGTTAACCTCACCTTAATCAATCTTAATACTCTTGTCAAGGGGGTTGGCATACATGTCGACAGTTCCTTGCTTGATTTTCAATAAGATTTGTCTAATCTTTAAAGAGTTCTCCTCTCTCTCCCATCCCAAATGGTAAGTAATGTTTATGAGAAAAAGCTCAAAGAGCACAAGGAAACAAGTAAGCATGAGGAATGCATATGTCTGTACCTTCATGTCTTATGGAATACCTTAGTCAAACAAGGAACAAGCTAAAGACTTATCCTGTGGTTGAAAGAAGGGTCAATAGAAAAAATAAAATGATACCCTAGAAAAGTAGGGAGAAATTGACCTTTCAAAGTTCTGATGTGAGAAAGAGAGAGGAAAAGAACTCATTGCACTTAAAGAGGCAATCTTGGAGAGATCAAGTGGGTAAGAACAAGTTCAATTGATCGATGTTCCCTTGATAAAGAATTCACGCTTTAAATTTATGCAAGAGGTTAGCAATAGAGAGTTTGGATTGCTGGATGAGACTAGTTGGGTTGGTATTGTTCGCTAAACTTGCAGGGTGTATGTGAAGCTAACCTTATGTTGTCTATGTTCATAGTGGAATACAGGAAAGGAACCTTTCACAGGATATTCAAAAGAGCAAGGGAGTTCCACGTTTTCAAACCTCTTTCACGGATTTAGATTCTTTTTGCTTGGGACAAGCAAAGATCTAAGTCTGGGGGAGTTGATATACCTCTATTTTACATGCTTTTTATACTGTTTTAGCATTGTTTTCTAATGGTTTTTGGCAGGTTTTCTATCTAAAAAGGTAGTTTTACTGTGTTTATAGTGTCTAGAGTCTAAACAGGTGAAATGATGCATTTTGGAGCAAAACCATAGGATTTGCACTTCAAGCCGCTCCATGCACAAGCATCAACTTTAAGAGGGCCCAGAAAAAGATCTACTCAATGGATTTCATCAAGACCAGTTCCCTGCGTGCTCTGATTGAGTTAACTTTCCAACGCAACTGGAACGGCCTATTTGGATGAGTAGAAAAGGAGTTACAACCAAAAGAGTGAAGACTGTCCAGACGGCTCTATCGAGAATCAGCGCCCAAACCGCGCAGTCCGGCTGGCCGAGGAACGAATGTTCCGCTCGGCCAAATCACATCCGTCCGTCTGAAGTCTCGGCCAAAGTTCCAAACCGACCGGCCGATCACGCATCACGACCCGGGAAACATTGCCCGCGGTCGGCCACGCACAACCGTCACGCCACGCCGCGCACGACCATGCCGCGCGAGCCGGGAAACAAAGCCTCGCGGCCGCGCAACCACTCGCGTACCACGGCCGATGCATCCGTCCGAGCCGGGAAACGTCCCACGTCCGGCCGAGAACCATCGGCCAAATCTCATCCGTCCGACCACGCCGGCCGACCACGAATCATCCGGCCACGACCGTTCCGACTCGGCCACGACCCGATTGTCCGGCCGATCGTCCCGACCGACCGTCCCAACGCCGCGGTCGACCCGAAGCCCGTTTTGAAGCCCAAACTTCATATTTTCAAGGCCCGGCTTAACCCTAAGCCGCCTCTAGAAAGACCTAGCACTATATATATAGCTTTTTAGCCTCTTGTGAAAAGAGAGCCGCCCTTGTATTTCGATTTCCTACTCTAAGTTTTATTGCAATCATGTTTTCTTCATCTCTATGTGTGTTTGCTTTGATCATGTCTGAGTAATCCACTAGTTAGGTTGCTAGGGTTACTATTCAATGAGTTGCTTGCATGATCTTTGATTTCAATGATTAGCTAGGGATTATATTAGCAGTGTTTTTAAAACCGGACTGGAAGACGAACCGGATAGACCTTGGGGTCATGGGTCAATCCGGTCCAACCAGTTCAACCGGCTTCATTATATATACATATATATTATATATTTATCACATTATATGGCATTATATCTTCAAGTATATATTATGCTTAATATAATTTGCTACTTTAACGATTTGTTTATTGAGATTAATGTACTTAAGAGTAAATACACTTAAAAACCCTACCTTTTCTATTCCTAAAAATAGCCGCCGCCTAGTCTACTCTTCTGTCTTCTTCTCCCTCTTTCTCTGTTTCTCCTCCTTCTTTTCACTTTTCTGAAGTTTTAAAATTCCAGTTAAACATTTCTGGCTTTCTTCCATTTCTTTTCGTTTCTTCTTTACGTATACGATTCTACAGTTTTGTTTTCTTACATCTGAAACAGATCGATGAAAATCAACACAAGATAATTCAATTGTGAACAAAAAAATCCTGAAAAGTTCAATAGTTTCAAAAACCGGATTTTCTTGGGTCACTGGTTCAAGCCGGTTCACCGGTTTTAGCCGGTTTTCATCCGGTTTTTTTGGGTTTTCTTAATATCCGGTTTTAGTAGTAAACCGAACCGGGTAACCTTCCGGTTCCCGGTTAAACCGGTTCGACCGGCCGCTCCGGTCCGGTTTTCAAAACACTGTATATTAGTCTTTGTCTCGTCTTGTGCACTTAACTAATGCTGATTGCTTTACCGCGCATCTAGTAATCCGATCTTAGGTTGATTTGAGCCTCGACAGTGTTGTATCATTCGCCGGACATATTCTTTGACAAGCTAGGTTTCTTAGACTGCGAAAGTTGATCTACTATAATCTAGTGAACTGTATCAGAACCTATTCATTCTAAAGCTTGATTTAATCACCTAGGGACATACCAAAAGTTTAGCGACTAGGTAGATTAACAAAGGAGCCGGAGCCTCGAAAGTGGAATGGTTTTATATTCGTGATCTGTGTTCTATTCGTGATCTGTGTTCTAGATGGTTCTTAATATCCCAATATCCCTAATCAATTAATCTATCATTGTTTCATTGATCATTGCTTGCTTCTCTGCGATAGCCCCTATGACCTAGCGCTTTTCCCCTTATTGATTTACAACCTCGTTATACTTGCTAGTTCGGTTCACCATTACAACCTCAATCATACTTTTGTTTTAGCTTGATCCAAAATCCATAGTTTCAAAGTGTACTCAATAGCCAGTCCTTGTGTTCGATACCCATACTTCCGCGATCTGTGCACTTGCAGAGGTCTAGGAGTTTGGTAAAACCTGACTCCACATCACTTCTCCACTTGAATCCAACTGCCTTCTTGATAATCTCAGTCATTGGCGCGGCTATGGTGCTAAAATCCTTAACAAACCGCCGATAGAATCCGGCCAAGCCATGAAAGCTTCTGACCTCTCCAACGGTCTTAGGACTAGGCCAATCCCGGAATAGCTGCGACCTTCTCTTCATCAACCTGTACGCCATCTGCACTAACCACAAAACCTAGAAACACCACGTTATTTGTACAAAAAGTGCATTTCTTAAAGTTGGCGAACAGCTTCTCCTCCCTAAGAACTTTCATGACCGCGGCAAGATGCTTAAGATGATCATCAAAGGTCCTGCTATAGATCAGGATATCATCAAAATAAACAACCACAAAATGACCAATGAAAGACCTAAGGACATGATTCATCAACCGCATGAAAGTACTTGGCGCATTGGTCAAGCCAAATGGCATCACAAGCCACTCATATAGACCATGCTTGGTTTTAAAAGCGGTTTTCCACTCATCACCTTCCTTCATCCGGATTTGGTGATATCCACTCTTAAGATCAATTTTAGAGAAGATGCAAGAGCCATGTAACTCATCTAACATGTCATCAAGTCTAGGGATAGGGTGTCGATACTTTACAGTGATGTTATTGATGGCGCGGCAGTCGACACACATCCTCCAGCTTCCATCCTTCTTAGGAACAAGAAGAACAGGAACAGCACAGGGCTCATGCTCTCTCTAATGTGGCCTTTCTCCATGAGTTCATCCACTTGGCGCTGAAGCTCCTTGGTCTCAACCGGATTGGTTCTGTAAGCCGGCCTGTTTGGTAAAGTGGAGCCGGGGACAAAGTCAATCTGGTGCTCAATACCTCGGACAGGAGGCAAGCCTGGTGGACTATCATCTGGAAAAACATCGCTAAAGTCCTGCAAAATTTGAGCTAGTTCACTCGGAATCTCCGGTGGAGTGTGAGTCAAGCCAATCAAATGTTCCTTATATATGAATAAGAGAAAAGGTTTGTTTAAGTTCAAGGAACGTTTAACCTGTTTTGGCTTCACCAGGAAGTTCTTTTGCTTAGGTGGTTTAGGTGGCTTGACTTCTTTTCCAGCAAGTTGTAACTGATCTTCATAGACTTTTTGTGGGCTTAAGGGAATCAAAGTAGTTTTACGGCCCTCATGAAGGAGAGTGTAGCGGTTTGTGAATCCATCATGGATCACAAGCCTATCAGACTGCCAAGGCCGCCCTAAGATGATGTGACCGGCGTCCATGGGTAGAATGTCACAAAGGATCTCATCTTTTTAGTTGCCAATAGATAAAGGCACAACTACTTGGTTGTTGACACTCATTTCTCCAGTTTCATTCAGCCAGTTAAGCTGATACGGCCGTGGATGCTTCTTGGTAATGAGTCCAAACTTCTCAACCATAGTCTCACTCGCCACATTGGTGAAACTTCCTCCATCGATGATTAAGCTACACACCTTGTCTTGGACTAAGCATCGCGTGTCAAAGAGGTTCTCGCGCTGCTCATCTTTATCGGTCCTGACTTGAGTACTCAAGACACGCCTGGCCACCAAAAGTTTGCCTTGGACAGGCACAGCCTCATACTCCTCAGGCTCTTCTTCTTTCTCTGGCGTCTCTGGCTCTGGATCATCTTCGGACTCAATCTCTCCATTGTCGCGAATGATCATCACCTTCTTGTTCAAGCAGTCAGAGGCATAATGCCCAAACCCTTGACACCTAAAGCACTTGAGATCATGGGTCCGTGAAGATGGAGTTCGCTCAGTCCGGCTCCTGTCTTGGTTAGTAGTGATATACCTCTAATTTACCCACTTTTTATACTGTTTTAGCATTGTTTTCTAATGGTTTTTGGCAGGTTTTCTATCTAAAAAGGTAGTTTTGCTGTGTTTATAGTGTCTAGAGTCTAAACAGGTGAAATGATGCATTTTGGAGCAAAACCATAGGATTTGCACTTCAAACCGCTCCATGCACAAGCACCAACATTAAGAGGGCCCAGAAAAATATCTACTCAATGGATTTCATCAAGACTGGTTCCCTGCGTGCTCTGATTGAGTTAACTTTCCAACGCAAGTGGAACGGCCTAATTTGGAGGAGTAGAAAGGAGTTATAACCAAAAGAGTCAAGACTGTCCACACGGCTCTATCGAGAAAGCAGCGCCCAACCGCGCAATCCGGCTGGCCGAGAAACTATTGTTTCGCGCTCGGCCAAAATCATATCCGTCCGTCTGAAGTCTCGGCCAAAGTTCGGAGTCGACCGGCCGATTACAAATCGCGACCCGGGGAATATTGTCCCGCGGTCGGCCAAGCCCCCATCACGCCACGCCGCTACGCGCACGACCATGCCGCGCGAGCCGGGGAACAAGGCCTCGCGGCCGCGCAACCCGTTCGCGTACCACGGCCGATGCATCCGTCCGAGCCGCCTTGTATTACAATTTCATACTTTGAGTTTTATTGCAATCATGTTTTCTTCATCTCTTTGTGCTTTTGCTTTGCTTATGTCTGAGTAATTCACTAGTTAGGTTGTGAGATCTATCAAAGAGTTCATGGTTTGATAGGTTGTTAGAAGTAACATAGGGTTTATCGTATCGCATCTTCGCCTCTGCTTGAATTCATTGCTGCTTGCTTTTCTGATCAACTAGCATCAGATCTTAGGTTTCATATACTCTCCAAAAGCTTCCTATATAACCTGAACTAAGTATTTGGTGAGCAAAACTTTATAGACTGCGAAAGTTGATCTATGCGGGGTTGTGAACAATTGTGTCTGGAACGAACTATTGCTTGATTTAATCACCTAGGGACATACCAAAAGAGGTCGGAGCCTCGACAGTGGAAAGATCATACAATCGTGACCTGAGTTCTAGATAGCGCAAACCCTAGCAAATCGTTCTAATATCTTGTTAACCTTGAATCTCTGCGAGTTTCTCACTGCCTAGCGTTTCCCTTTATTGATTTTCATAAACCGTTTTAGTTGTTACTTGATTTCCTTGCTACACAATCGAAAACCCTAATTTATACTTGTTTTCTAGCTACATTAGACTTGCAAATTCGAAGTGTACTTATCTGCTCCTTTTGTTCGATACCCGTTTACTACTTTTGATCTGTGCACTTGCAGAATCAGGGATAGGAAAAGGGAAGACCTGATCCCGGCTACATTCCAAAGGTGTATGATGTCCATATTCACAGATCTAATAGAAGAGATTATGGAGGTTTTCATGGATGATTTCTCAGTATATGGTTCTTCCTTTGAATCATGTTTGGGAAATCTTGGAAGAGTGCTACAGAGATGTGAAGACAAGCACCTAGTTCTAAATTGGGAGAAGTGCCACTTTATGGTTAGAGATGGAATAGTGCTTGGACATAGAATCTCAGAGAGAGGCATAGAAGTTGACAAAGCCAAGATTGAAGTAATGACAAACCTTCAGCCGCCCAAGACAGTTAAAGATATCAGAAGCTTCCTAGGACATGCTGGTTCTACAGGAGGTTCATTAAAGATTTCTCACAGATAGCAAGGCCGCTAACACGCCTTTATGCAAGGATATTAACTTTGAGTTCACAGAGGAGTGTCACAAGGCTTTCACTAAGATCAAAGATGCATTGGTCAGTGCGCCAGTGGTTCAACCTCCAAACTGGGAACTACCTTTTGAGATAATGTGTGATGCAAGTGATTATGCAGTAGGAGCAGTGCTTGGGACAAAGAAAAGACAAGAAGCTACATGTGATCTATTATGCCAGCAGAACGCTTGATGAGGCACAATGCAAGTATGCCACAACAGAAAAGGAGCTTCTGCTATTGTCTTTGCATTTGAGAAATTTCGATCATACTTGGTGGGATCGAAAGTTATAGTTCATTCTGATCATGCAGCATTAAGGTATCTCTTATCCAAGAAAGATGCCAAGCCAAGATTTGAGATGGATACTACTATTGCAAGAATTTGATCTTGAGATCAAGGATAGAAGAGGAGCAGATAATGGAGTAGCTGATCACCTTTCAAGGATGAGAGTTGAAGAAAATCTACCTCTTGATGATAGGCTACCTGAAGAAACAGTTTATGCAGCTGAAGCTAGCAATAAGCATGGACAACTAAGCCATCACAGGCCAGGAACAAAGATCTCATCATCAAACACACCATGGTTTCGCCACATAGCAAACTTCCTTGCAGCTGAATACCCACCACCAAACTTCTTTGGCTACAGAAAGAAGAAAGTTTCTGCGTGATGTAAGAAGGTACTACTGGGATGAACCTTACTTATACAAGAAATGTTCAGATGGAATGTTTAGAAGATGCATACCAGAGGAAGAGGTAGAAGGAATATTGTTTGCTTGTCATAGTTCTAGCTATGCAGGCACTTTGCCACTTACAAGACAGTATCCAAGGTCCTACAAGCTGGATTTTGGTGGCCAACTATGTTTAAGGATGCTCATGCATTCATATCAAGATGTGATGCTTGCCAAAGAATGGGAAATATAAGCAAGAGGAATGAGATGCCACAGAACTTTATACTAGAAGTTGAAGTTTTTGATGTTTGGGGCATTGACTTTATGGGACCTTTCCCAACCTCTTTTGGTGACCAATACATTCTAGTGGCAGTTGATTATGTCTCCAAATGGGTGGAAGCCATTGCCAGCCCTACTAATGACGCACAAGTGGTCATCAAGATGTTTAAATCCATCATTTTTCCAAGGTTTGGAGTGCCTAGGATAGTCATAAGTGATGGAGGTTCACATTTCATAAACAGAATCTTTGCCAACCTTTTGAAGAAGCATGGAGTACTCACAAAGTTGCCTCTCCTTACCACCCCAAACTAGTGGACAAGTTGAGATCTCAAACAGAGAACTCAAGAGCATACTTCAGAAGACAACAGGCAAGACAAGAAAGGATTGGAGTGCCAAACTAGATGATGCTCTATGGGCATACCGCACTGCCTTCAAAACACCACTTGGTACCACCCCCTTTCATCTTGTTTATGGTAAAGCATGTCATTTACCTGTGGAGCTGGAGTACAAAGCAGCTTGGGCTATTAAGGAGTTGAACTTCAACCTAAAGACAGCAGGAGAAAGAAGATTGATTCAGCTGAATGAGCTTGATGAGATTAGGCATCTAGCTTATGAGAATTCAAAGATCTATAAGGAGAGAACCAAAGCTTTCCATGACCGCAAGATCATCCCAAAGAACTTTGCGCCAAACGACCAAGTTCTACTATTCAACTCAAGGTTGAAACTCTTTCCAGGAAAGCTTCGCTCAAGATGGTCAGGACCATTCAGGATTAAAGAAGTTCGCCCCTATGGAGCAGTGGTACTATGGGACCCAATGGGAGGAGACTTTACAGTCAATGGACAAAGGTTAAAACCCTACCTAGCTTCCACCACCATACCACAGGAGACCACACTGGCTCTTGGCGATCCACCAGATCCTTAAGGAAGTGCCATACAGTCAAGCTAATGACTTTAAACAAAGCGCTGAATGGGAGGCAACCCATTGAAGGTCATTTCTTTTCATTTTCTTTCTTTAATTTTCTTTTTTTTTTTGAATATTACCTCTCACCTTAATGTGATTTGCTTTCACCGGGACGGTGCAAGTTAAGTCTGGGGGGAGTTTTATTGTGTTACTAATGCATTTTTCTTTCTTTTCTTATGTTTTATTCACTTTGTTTCATGTTTTTCAAAAAGTTTTATTGAGTCAAAAACCAGTCCGGAAGTTATGAACTTGCTTTGAGAATTGAGAGTGTTGTGCTAACAATCCATGACCCTAGAGCAGAAACCAGCTAAAGGCACAAGCCTAACAGAAGCTCTTACAGTGGATCGACATGCTAGCTCAGCAAAATTTCTAAGGTAACCAAGCAATCTAGAGTTAACCTCACCTTAATCAATCTTAATTACTCTTGTCAAGGGGGTTGGCATACATGTCGACAGTTCCTTGCTTGATTTTCAATAAGATTTGTCTAATCTTTAAAGAGTTCTCCTCTCTCTCCCATCCCAAATGGTAAGTAATGTTTATGAGAAAAAGCTCAAAGAGCACAAGGAAAACAAGTAAGCATGAGGAATGCATATGTCTGTACCTTCATGTCTTATGGAATACCTTAGTCAAACAAGGAACAAGCTAAAGACTTATCCTGTGGTTGAAAGAAGGGTCAATAGAAAAAATAAAATGATACCCTAGAAAAGTAGGGAGAAATTGACCTTTCAAAGTTCTGATGTGAGAAAGAGAGAGGAAAAGAACTCATTGCACTTAAAGAGGCAATCTTGGAGAGGATCAAGTGGGTAAGAACAAGTTCAATTGATCGATGTCCCCTTGATAAAGAATTCACGCTTTAAATTTATGCAAGAGGTTAGCAATAGAGAGTTTGGATTGCTGGATGAGACTAGTTGGGTTGGTATTGTTCGCTAAACTTGCAGGGTGTATGTGAAGCTAACCTTATGTTGTCTATGTTCATAGTGGAATACAGGAAAGGAACCTTTCACAGGATATTCAAAAGAGCAAGGGAGCTTCCACGTTTTCAAACCTCTTTCACGGATTTAGATTCTTTTTGCTTGAGGACAAGCAAAGATCTAAGTCTGGGGGAGTTGATATACCTCTAATTTACCCACTTTTTATACTGTTTTAGCATTGTTTTCTAATGGTTTTTGGCAGGTTTTCTATCTAAAAAGGTAGTTTTACTGTGTTTATAGTGTCTAGAGTCTAAACAGGTGAAATGATGCATTTTGGAGCAAAACCATAGGATTTGCACTTCAAGCCGCTCCATGCACAAGCACCAACTTTAAGAGGGCCCAGAAAAAGATCTACTCAATGGATTTCATCAAGACCAGTTCCCTGCGTGCTCTGATTGAGTTAACTTTCCAACGCAACTGGAACGGCCTAATTTGGATGAGTAGAAAAGGAGTTATAACCAAAAGAGTGAAGACTGTCCAGACGGCTCTATCGAGAAATCAGCGCCCAACCGCGCAGTCCGGCTGGCCGAGAAACTATGTTTCGCGCTCGGCCAAATCATATCCGTCCGTCTGAAGTCTCGGCCAAAGTTCAAACCGACCGGCCGATCACGCAATCACGACCCGGGAAACATTGCCCGCGGTCGGCCAAGCCACCTCACGCCACGCCGCGCACGACCATGCCGCGCGAGCCGGGAACAAGGCCTCGCGGCCGCGCAACCCGTTCGCGTACCACGGCCGATGCATCCGTCCGAGCCGCCTTGTATTACAATTTCATACTTTGAGTTTTATTGCAATCATGTTTTCTTCATCTCTTTGTGCTTTTGCTTTGCTTATGTCTGAGTAATTCACTAGTTAGGTTGTGAGATCTATCAAAGAGTTCATGGTTTGATAGGTTGTTAGAAGTAACATAGGGTTTATCGTATCGCATCTTCGCCTCTGCTTGAATTCATTGCTGCTTGCTTTTCTGATCAACTAGCATCAGATCTTAGGTTTCATATACTCTCCAAAAGCTTGCTATATAACCTGAACTAAGTATTTGGTGAGCAAAACTTCATAAACTGCGAAAGTTGATCTATGCGGGGTTGTGAACAATTGGGTCTTGAAAGAACTATTGCTTGATTTAATCACCTAGGGACATACCAAAATTTTAGCGACTAGGTAGATTAACAAAGGGGTCGGAGCCTCGACAGTGGAAAGATCATACAATCGTGACCTGAGTTTTAGATAGCGCAAACCCTAGCAAATCCTTCTAATATCTTGTTAACCTTGAATCTCTGCGAGTTTCTCACTGCCTAGCGTTTCCCTTTATTGATTTTCATAAACCGTTTTAGTTGTTACTTGATTTCCTTGCTACACAATCGAAAACCCTAATTTATACTTGTTTTCTAGCTACATTAGACTTGCATAATTCGAAGTGTACTTATCTGCTCCTTGTGTTCGATACCCGTTTACTACTTTTGATCTGTGCACTTGCAGAATCAGGATAGGAAAAGGGAAGACCTGATCCCGCACATCAAGTAGCTAGAGGTTTGGTTTCTGGCCTTGGCGCGAAAGACTTGGTGTCGCGGTTGAAGGCTGGTCTGCGCGGCTCTGTATTGAGTCGAGTGGAGCTTCTCCTCTTCAATTGTGTCTCGGCCAGAACTGCCTTGTGAAACATGGACTCCAGGGCCACACAATTTTGCATCTCCACAATATCTTGTATCTCACGGTTCAAGCCTCCAAGAAATCAAGACATAGTGGCCTCGCGGTCTTCTATCACGTTGGCACGCAAGATCATTACCTCCATTTCTTGGTAGTACTCTTCCACAGTCCTGGAGCCTTGAGTGAGTTTTTTGAGCTTGGAATGTAGCTCACGTTGGTAATGACCAGGGACAAACCGTTGCCTCATGATGCGTTTCATTTCCTCCCAAGTAGTAATTTCATAAGCGCCACCAATCTCTCAAGCCAAAATGATTTGCTCCCACCATCTTAGCGTGTAATCGTTGAATTCTGATACGGCCAGCTTGACACGGTTGACGTCAATGATGTTGTGTAGGTTAAAATTGAATTCGCACTTCTTTTCCCAGTCCATATACTCGTCTCGATTGTTCCGGCCATGGAACGGTGGAATCTTCATTTTGTAGCCTCCCAAGTTCTCCATCATACGATCTGGCTCATCTCGCGGCCTTCTAGATTGGTGCCGGCTTGAATGAGATGATTGAGCGCTACCGTAGTAGACATGAGCTTGCTCGTCTCCGAGCCCATTAGAGGCCATGGGATCGTTTCTTCGCTCTCCATCCGAGATATGTATTGGACCTCTCGTCTCCTTTCGTTTGCCTTGCTTGACCTGATCTCTCCGGTCAAACTCCTCAGCCATCATCTTCTTGATCTGCTCTAACAAAGCCTCACTAGCACCGTTTGATCCTTCCTCCTTTTCTGACGCCATAGTACCTGAGACTTAAGAATAAACCACGGCAGTCAAAAGTTCCAAGGAAAATCGTTGCAAATAATTTTTTTTAAAAATTATAGAAACAATTTTAAAAATTATGCAACCACTTAGAGATGACAGATCTATGTGAAAATGATTAAGATAAATTGTGACAAATTTAAAAAAATTACGAAATAAATTAAAAATGCAGTGACGTTTGTAAATGATCAAATGGATGATGAAACAAGTGATGGATGATGAACAAATGGTTTCAAGATGATCGAAAGGTAACCTTGATGAGTAAACAAGCATTGGAAGTGAAGGTAATGACAATGGAAACAAAGAAGCGATCAATAGCACAATAGCAAAGCAAAATCATATTCAAGATCTACGATTCTCAGATTTGGAAGATGAATAGTCAAAATCATAAAAGTCGAGATCACTTAGGTTTAAGGAGCTCTGATACCAACTGATACGCCCCTGGACTAGATCGACTATGAAGGTAAGTGAATGAATGGATCGGATCACAAGGAAACCGATGGTGGATGGTTGAACGGATTGAATGGTGAAGTGAATGGCTATACTACAGATCCAGCGGAAGAGATCTCTAACACCGCCTCCAACGTGTTGATATTACGCACAACAAGTGAACAGAAGAGTGATCAAACAAAAAGAGAGGTTTTGATAATAGATTGATTGATAAGTTTCAAAGAGAGAAAGGACTAGGGTTTTAAAGAGAAAACGAGAGAGAGAGAAGGGATGATTGGAACAGGCTCCAATCATCTAGAGAACACACAAAAACATTAATGAAACAAGACTAGAAAAACGACCCCTCGGCTTCTGGCGCCTCCATTTGAATCTCTCTTGGGCCGGACCTAAACATATGGAATGGAAGAGAGGATTTGAAAGTGTGCTATGGGCCTCATTAAAAACCTTGTCAAGAAAACCCAAAGGGACAAAACTTGACAAGGGAAAAAGAGCACACCATAACACACTTGTCTCTTTTATCCCATATGTAAGGCTTCCAAACAAACCAGAGTAGTTGGTTTGGTTTCTTGCTGACTCAAACAGCTAAGGACTTTGGCAATCACTTGGTTTAGTGCCTTAGTTCGTGAACGAGTGATCGGGGAAGTTGGAATGGCTATGCTCTCCTCAGGTACAAGCTGCGCGGCTTCAAGTCCCTCCTCGGCCAAGAGCTGCTCCATTCCATCTTCTTCCTCGGCCAAAAGCTGCTCTTCCTGAACCTCCTCGTCCATGATCGCATCATAGCGCGACAAAAAAAACCATCCGCGTGGCACGCACGGGCAGAAAGGAACACGCCGCGATTGGCCGGAATCACGTATCGGAACGGACCGACCGTCACGGTCGATCCGGGAAGCAAACGTTCGGCCTCGGCCGATTTCTCGTCCACGATTTGGCCGACCAAATCGCTCGACCGCGACAAAATCCATCGGCCATCGGCCCAAACTTTTCGGCCAAGGTAAGTCCCCTTTTCATTAAATTCAAACCGGTTTTAACCAATCCTAAACCAACTTAAACCGGTTTTCAATCAAAATTCGAATTTGAAAAGGAATTAATTGATAGGATTTAGATCTTTTACTTTACCTTTCCCTTGAAAACAACAAGAACCTCTCTTTCTTCTCCAAAACCCTAAACTCCATTAGAGGAACTCTAAGAGCTTTGATTTCAAAACTTTTACTGTTCATAACTCTAAATTGGAATTTACTTGCTCTTATTATTCACTCAACACACTGTCTTCTTCCCTATGTTTATGCAAGATCGAAAATTTCAATAAGTTTCTTGTTTGGTCTAAACTCTTGTCTAAACTTGAAATTGCATCCTTATTAGTCTTGTAATGAACTTAGCTAGGTGGAACCTAGGTGGTTTAGAGTTAATTTGAAGTTTAATTTCACAATTGAATAGTTTTTCACAAAACTTATTGGGCATTCCAAACCCCTTATTCAAAGGTGAAATTGCTTAGCATACTTCAATTCATTAGTTTATCTAGTGATTACTTGGATTAGAAACTCAATTTCTCTTGATTTGCTGAAAATTTCGATTTTAAGCACCATAATCTTGGGATGAACAGTAAAATCCGAAAATTAACTTTGAAAAAGTGAAATTTCCATTTTGTTTCTTTGATTATGATTAAGCCTTGAGTTGTTCCATTATTCCATATCATTATTACAACTCAATTAGCTTATCTTCTTTTGCATTAATCACAAACTCATGTCTCTTCCCAAGAATTTGCTCTTGTAGGTACCCAATGGCAAAGACAAAAGGAAATGAGAGTATGAAGAAGAAGAAGACCCATTCATGGCAACCACCAAAGAAACAAATCAAGCTAGGGAGTAGTAGCTCCAATGCAAGAGCAGCAATACCACATCACCACATTCCATTGATGCAATCAAGAACATGTGGAGAGTCCAAGAAGAGAAGATGATTGGGCACTTGTAACCTTTGTTGGAGAACAAATCCAAGACCCAAGAAAGTGTAAGAAGGCAATGGAGAAGGTGAACATCGAACCTTGTGTGAAGATGGACACCCAAACCCTTGACCTTCTCAAGATAAGAGATGATGTCACATGGTACATAAGGAAGCTAGGCTTGAGCAAGCTCTTCAAGCTAGAGTGCAGTGAGTACTCAACTCACCAAGGAGTTCCTCTCCACAGTAGCTCTTGCCTTTCCCAACCACAATGGAGACCAACCAGCTGGTGATGGACTCCTACTCTTCAAGATAGGCGATGCCAATGGGCGCATCTCCATCTCAGCTCTATGCCAACTCTTTGGACTTCCCAATGAGACAGCACATGACTTCAAGGAGAACTCAAAGAGGAAACAAGCTGCCTTTGCTGATTGGACACACTTTGCCAATGAACCATTCTTGCCTTCAAGATCAAAGGTGTCTAGAATCACTCATCCAGCCATTCGCTATGTGCACCGCCTCATCTCCACCACTTTCCAATGCAAACAAGAAGCCAACAAGGTCACAACTGATGAGTTCTACATCCTCACCACACCATTCATCAAGCATGAGTACAAGGCCAACCTTGGCCTTTTACTTGCCAAGACATTATCAATGTGAGGAAGCTAGCTCAAGACTTGGAAGGCAACAAGAAGCTTTGTGTTCGTTTTGGGAGGCTTATCACGGCCATAGTACAACATGTGGGGATTGACATTCCCAACTATGAGCCACTACCCAAGCCAACCCCTTTGGATCTCCATGCTCTTCAGCACATCCACTTCCTAAACCGTTGGACTAAAGACCCAACTCGGTTTTGCTATGAGTTTCCAATTGGTCCAGCCAACACTTCCCTTGTCTTGCTGCCACATGAAGACATCCCAAGCCTACGCTCAGGTGTTGTCACTTTCCAGCCCAAGGAGGAAGACTTCTATGTTCCATCAAGTGAGAAACCATCATTCCCCATGCTCACCTATCGCACACTTCAGCATGCAGTCAAGACTCAACGCCGCCACCAAGAACGCCATGTTCTCACTACTGGCATGGCCGCGAACCAAGCTCTAGACCGTGTAACAAGCTGGAGAAGATAGTGGAGTGCCAATCTCGCTTCATCTCACGCCTAGTTCGTGTAGTTCGCCACATTGCACCGGAGAGACTCTTTCGCCCTTCTTCCACCGCTAGAGAGCCATATGAGCCTGACCTTGGTGAGTTCTCACTAGACTCAGAGCTTGGTTCAGAAGGCGATGACCCCATAGATGAGGAAGAGAGTTCTTCTCACTGCCACACATAGTCATCTCAAGTGGTACTTAGTGCAATGGACACTTACAAATCTCCATTTTCTATCCCTATCTCATTTTAATGAATTTTCTTTATTTTTCTTTTACTTTGAATATTACCTCTCACCTTAATGTGATTTGCTTTCACCGGGACGGTGCAAGTTAAGTCTGGGGGGAGTTTTATTGTGTTACTAATGCATTTTTCTTTCTTTTCTTATGTTTTATTACTTTGTTTCATGTTTTTCAAAAAGTTTTATTGAGTCAAAAACCAGTCCGGAAGTTATGAACTTGCTTTGAGAATTGAGAGTGTTGTGCTAACAATCCATGACCCTAGAGCAGAAACCAGCTAAAGGCACAAGCCTAACAGAAGCTCTTACAGTGGATCGACATGCTAGCTCAGCAAAATTTCTAAGGTAACCAAGCAATCTAGAGTTAACCTCACCCTTAATCAATCTTAATACTCTTGTCAAGGGGATTGGCATACATGTCGACAGTTCCTTGCTTGATTTTCAATAAGATTTGTCTAATCTTTAAAGAGTTCTCCTCTCTCTCCCATCCCAAATGGTAAGTAATATATGAGAAAAAGCTCAAAGAGCACAAGGAAAACAAGTAAGCATGAGGAATGCATATGTCTGTACCTTCATGTCTTATGGAATACCTTAGTCAAACAAGGAACAAGCTAAAGACTTATCCTGTGGTTGAAAGAAGGGTCAATAGAAAAAATAAAATGATACCCTAGAAAAGTAGGGAGAAATTGACCTTTCAAAGTTCTGATGTGAGAAAGAGAGAGGAAAAGAACTCATTGCACTTAAAGACAATCTTGGAGAAGATCAAGTGGGTAAGAACAAGTTCAATTGATCGATGTCCCTTGATAAAGAACTCACGCTTTAAATTTATGCAAGAGGTTAGCAATAGAGAGTTTGGATTGCTGGATGAGACTAGTTGGGTTGGTATTGTTCGCTAAACTTGCAGGGTGTATGTGAAGCTAACCTTATGTTGTCTATGTTCTTAGTGGAATACAGGAAAGGAACCTTTCACAGGATATTCAAAAGAGCAAGGGAGTTTCCACGTTTTCAAACCTCTTTCACGGATTTAGATTCTTTTGCTTGGGGACAAGCAAAGATCTAAGTCTGGGGGAGTTGATATACCTCTATTTTACATGCTTTTTATACTGTTTTAGTATTGTTTTCTAATGGTTTTTGGCAGGTTTTCTATCTAAAAAGGTAGTTTTACTGTGTTTATAGTGTCTAGAGTCTAAACAGGTGAAATGATGCATTTTGGAGCAAAACCATAGGATTTGCACTTCAAGCCGCTCCATGCACAAGCATCAACTTTAAGAGGGCCCAGAAAAAGATCTACTCAATGGATTTCATCAAGACCAGTTCCCTGCGTGCTCTGATTGAGTTAACTTTCCAACGCAACTGGAACGGCCTCATTTGGATGAGTAGAAAAGGAGTTACAACCAAAAGAGTGAAGACTGTCCAGACGGCTCTATCGAGAAACCGCGGCCAAGCCGTGCAGAGCGGCCGGCCGAGAAACGAATGCACGGCCCAGCTTAACCCTAAGCCGCCTCAGAAGACCTAGCACTATATATATAGCTTTTTAGCCTCTTGTGAAAAGAGAGCCCCCTTGTATTTCGATTTCCTACTCTAAGTTTTATTGCAATCATGTTTTCTTCATCTCTATGTGTGTTTGCTTTGATCATGTCTGAGTAATCCACTAGTTAGGTTGCTAGGGTTACTAATCAATGAGTTGCTTGCATGATCTTTGATTTCGATGATTAGCTAGGGATTATATAGAGTCTTTGTCTCGTCTTGTGCACTTAACTAATGCTGATTGCTTTACCGCGCATCTAGTAATCCGATCTTAGGTTGATTTGAGCCTCGACAGTGTTGTATCATTCGCCGGACATATTCTTTGGCAAGCTAGGTTTCTTAGACTGCGAAAGTTGATCTACTATAATCTAGTGAACTGTATCAGAACCTATTCATTCTAAAGCTTGATTTAATCACCTAGGGACATACCAAAAGTTTAGCGACTAGGTAGATTAACAAAGGAGCCGGAGCCTCGAAAGTGGAATGGTTTTATATTCGTGATCTGTGTTCTAGACGGTTCTTAATATCCCAACATCCCTAATCAATTCATCTATCATTGTTTCATTGATCATTGCTTGCTTCTCTGCGATTAGCCCCTGTTGACCTAGCGTTTCTTCCTTATTGATTTACAACCTCGTTTACTTGCTAGTTCTGTTCACCATTACAACCTCAAACCATACTTTTGTTTTAGCTTGATCCAAAATCCATAGTTTCAAAGTGTACTCAATAGCCAGTCCTTGTGTTCGATACCCATACTTCCGCGATCTGTGCACTTGCAGAGGTCTAGGAGTTTGGTAAAACCTGACTCAACATCAGGGGGTGGGTCCCACAAGTAAATTTTGGTCCCCCACTACCCTAAATCGATCAGAAAAATCTCTAGCTTTTGTCCCCTCTTCAATTCATATTTTCATCTCAACCACACATCTCAAACACTCCCTCTTCCCCATAACTCGATCGAATCACCTTCTCCCTCTCTCCCACAATCTAAAAATTCTGAAAATCATGCATCTCTCTCTTCACCCTAAGAAAAATCCGTTGTTCATTGTTCATCATCTTGATTTGTTTGGGTTCTAGTTACTGTACTTCAATTCATCATTCAAGCAAGGTGTGAACCCTAAAACCCTTGAATCCTTCATCTCGATTCCTCTTTATTGCTTGTTTCCCCTTTGATTTTGATTGCATGTGCCCCTTGTCGGCTTGTTCTTGAGTAATTGACTTCATATCATTCTCCTGCTTATAATTTTGTGAATTTGCCTCACCTCACCTCTGTGTTACCATAAGAACTTGTTGCATGTGCTTAAAACATTGAATTTGGGTTTGGTATTGGTTAAGATGGTTTGATTCTCACTAGAATTTCTCATTGTTCCATTTACTTGTTGTTTTTGGTTCGATTTGATTGACAAGCATTCTTTCCAACTCTTATTACTTGAATTAGGTTCGGTTATACTCTGTTTTCACCTAGCTCGATCGAGTTTGTCACTCGAGTTTTTTTACTCGATCGAGCTGAGTGTCGAGTTGACCAAACCGATCGTTACAACTCTAATTCTTTGTAATCTTTGATGCATTTCAGGAACCTTAGTGGAGAAACAGCATAAGAAGATGACAAACAGTGAGGGAAGTCGTGCTTCGCAAAGGAGAATGGTTGAGGGTGAATCAAGCAATGCAAGGGAGAGAAGGCTAAAAATGCAAGCCGATTTGGAAGCAATGACTCAAAGGATGGAAGAGTCTGATGCAGAGGAGTATGTCTACTCTGAGGAGGAGTCTGAGAGCGAGAGATTGAGGGAGGAAAGGAGAACCAAGAAGAGGAATGACCCCATTAGTAGTTAGAGTGAGAAAGGAGAGTTTGAGATTGGGGTGAACCTTGTTCAAGAGGACGGTGATGGCTCTCCAAGTGAAGAAGGAAGTGATGAGTCTGAGAGTGAAGAAGAAGGAGAGGAGGTGAATCAATTGGTTGATGAGAGTGAGCAAGAGAGTAACCAAGATGAGCCCATGGAGGAGGCTGAGCCACAAGAGGAGGAGGAAGAACTCCCTATGTACCAAGAGCACTACAATGCTCTCTTCTCCATGGACTTTGTGGAGACCAAGTACCCACAAGATGACACAATGAGGACTCTTGGGATCTTTGAGGATGTGGAGTTGGTACTCAAGAATATGCAATTGGCAAGGTTCTTCTCTCACCGCATGGAGTCTTACAAGGAGCTCACTTGTGAGTTTTTGGCATCGATGAGGTATCACCAATATGATGAGCTCGATCGAGCTGAGTTGGACCAAGGCTGGTAAAGTTACTTTCTTGGCAAGGGGAGAGAGGAAGATGGTAACCTTTGATATACCTATTTTACCTACTTTTTATGCTATTTTACTATGGTTTTCTAATGGTTTTCTAGTGGATTCTTGTGTTAAAAGGTAGTTTTTATGGATTTATAGTGCAAAGAGTCATTTTAGGTAAAAAGGTGCATTATGGAGCAAAACAGAGATTTGGACTCTAAACCAGTTCAATGCCACTGCATCAACTTTGGATGGAGCTAGAAAAAGATCTACTCAATGGATTTCATCAAGACCAGTTCCCTGCGTGCTCTGATTGAGTTAACTTTCCAACGCAACTGGAATGGCTCATTTGGATGAGTAGAAAAGGAGTTATAGCCAAAAGAGTGAAGACTGTCCAGACGGCTCTATCGAGAATCAGCGCCCAACCGGCAGACGGCTGGCCGAGGAACGAATGTTCCGCGCTCGGCCAAAACCGTCCGTCCGTCTGAAGTCTCGGCCAAAGTTCGTCTCCGGCCGATCACATCACGACCCGGGAAACATGTCCCGCGGTCGGCCACGCCACAACCACTCACGCCAGCCGCACACAACCAGCCGCGCGAGCCGGGAACAAAGCCTCGCGGCCGCGCAACCTCTCGCGTACCACGGCCGATGCATCCGTCCGAGCCGGGAAGACGTCCCACGTCCGGCCGAGAACCATCGGCCAATCTCATCCGTCCGACCACAGCCGGCCGACGAGAAATCATCCGGCCACGACCGTTCCGACTCGACCACGACCCGACTGTCCGGCCGACCGTCCCGACCGACCGTCCGAACGCCGCGGTCGAGCCCAAAGCCGGCGCCGACTAGCAAGATTAGGTTAGCCGCTTTTCATACTTAGAGCATTATAAATACTTCTTTTTAGCCTTGTAACTCAAGAAGGAGAGAGACCACAATTATTTTACATCTTTAATAAAGTTTTGCTTGCTTTTACTTTGTTCTTGCTTGTTACTCTTTCTAGAGAGGATTCGAATCTCTGTTCTTATGAATATGAATTCGTGTTCCTTCTCTATGTCTGAGTAGTTTACTTGTTAAGTGATAGGAAGTCAAAGGATAGCATTCATGTATGCTTGATGATTGATCACAATTAGGGTTTTACTTATAATCTCCATCTTTGCTTATACTTAATGCTTGTTGTTAATCTGGCCAATTAGCATATGCCTTTAGGTTGATTTGAGCCTCGACAGTGCTGTATCATTCGCCTGAACTAGTATTTGGTGGGCAATCTCTTTTAGACTGCGAAAGTTGATCTACTTGTAGGTTGTGAACAATTGAACTTAATCGAACTAATGCTTGATTTAATCACCTAGGGACATACCAAAAGTTTAGCGACTAGGTAGATTAACAAAGGGGTCGGAGCCTCGACAGTGGAATGATCATACCATAGTGTTTCAAGTTCTAGATTGGCACCTAATTGCAGTAACCCTAATTGATTGATTTCATGCTTCATGAATTGCTTATCTAAGACTATCCTATTGCTTAGCCCTTTCTCTCCTATTGATTTCATTCTTTATTACTTGCATGCCTTTACTTTCTCTGCACTCAACCAACTTATACTTTTGCCCTAGCTCGATCTCAACTCATAGCTTGTAGTGTGCAATCTGGTCCTCGTGTTCGATACCCGTTTACTACTTCTGACCTGTGCACTTGCAGAATCAGGGATAGGAAAGGGGAAGACCTGATCCCGCGATCAAGTTTTTGGCGCCGTTGCCGGGGACCAATTCGCACCTACAAGCTCTTGCAAGAGAGCTAGTCTAGGGTTTTTCTTTTCCTTTTTGTTTTTGTTATTTTTCCTTTTTCTTTGATTTGGTTTTTCCTTTTTGTTTTTGAGCTTTTCAGGTTTTCCTAGTTAGATATGGAGAAGGAGCCACAAGTCCTTCCCCTATAAAGGCGATGCCACTTCGCCACATACCACCTCAAAGAGACCTCTTGAGCGAACAAGAGATGTCAAGCCCTCAAGCACCACCACCTTCATGGGATAGTCCTCCAAGACTATCTCCTTGAAGACCAAGAAGAAACTTCTTCCTACCTTGAAGCAGCCGACCTGGAGACGTCTAGCCAAGCCGCATCACAAGAAGAACACCTTCTAGCCACACCAGAAGAGGAGATTGACCCTGAGCTGATCGAGTTCGTGAAGAGAGATCAATTCCATGATCTGTTTTCAGAGTATGCGCTGGAGCACATAGATCACTTTGACAATCTTTGTGATTCCTATGGAGTTTTTGACTTTGAGAAGAAGATGATGCTATTCAGCACATCACTAGCTGGACCAGCACTAGATTGGGCGCAGCATGACCACTCTCTACAATCGAGTCATGGATCGATTTTAGAGAAGCTTTCTTGAAGAGATTTGCAAGGGACCACCTTTCAAATCCAAGTACAACCACTACTCTCATCAGCTGGAGAGAGAGCGTGATGAAGAAGAATGGGGAGGCATACCACCCCATCCTGAAGTTCTGAATGAAGAGCTAATCAAGCATGTGGAGAGAATCCTTTCTACAATTCTACTTCAGAATGTGCAAAGGAGCATCTATGCAACTTTGAGCAGCTTTGCCACGACTATGGACTTGGAGACAACCCCAAGAAGATACAACTTTTCCAACTATCACTAGCTGGACAAGCCAAAGAATGGGCTAAGTTCAATGCCCAACATGCTTTCAAGACTTGGAATGGATACAAAGGAGCTTTCCTTACAGATTTGCAAAGGTCCGATTTATGTTCCCACCACCACGCCCAAGCTATTCACAACACCATCCATCATCACCAGACATAAACAAGACACCACTTTTCCCAAGGGAGAGCTATCAAGCTGCGCGCCAAACCAAGATTGAAGAGATGCTTCAAGAGTACTTGAGAAATCAAGAAGAGAGTACAAAGAAGATGGAGAGAGAATCGATTTCATCCATGAGAGCCTTGGAAACAAATCTGAAGTCCTATTCAAGCAAGTGATCAAGCTTGATGAAGACATTAAGAAGTTAAGAGAGGATCATGATCGATCTCTGACCCTAGTTAAGCTTGATGTTGCTTCCAAATATCAAGAGTTGCTGAACAAGAGCATGAGAATTGAAGATACTAGCTATGGCAATAGCAAACATCTTGGATCGATCTACAACCGCCTACAAGCCCTTGAAGGATCATCTCATGCCAATTACAAGAGAGAGAGGAGTCCAACACCCAACCACCCTCCCTTTTATTGCAATGCCATCACAAGAAGAAGCACTACTCAAGTCCATGAGGAACAATGAAGAAGAAGAAAGAGAGTATGAGGAACAATTGAATGATGAAGATGAAGAGCAGAGCATCGACATCAATGCTTCCCCAAAACAGAGCATGGATACACCTAGCCCTAGACCCTCGTTTCTCACCACACCAAGAAGTCAAGCTTCTACACTTCCAAGATTGGAAGCAATGCAAAGACCATCACCACCTACTGAAGAAGAAGATACTTGGCATATGATCCCATTGATCCCAACAAGATAAGCCCCATGAAGCTTAAAGAGTTCAATGCTAAGGTGAAATCACTTCCATTCTATGTCACTTTTGAAGAAGCTTGGGATAAACATGGTCTAGTGGAGTTCTTTTTCACAACTAGTGAAAACAAAGAAGAGATACACCAACTTTTTCAGGAAGGCACGATTTCCCCTTGCCCCTCATGCAGTCAATCAACCACCATCACCACCATCATCACCACCACCCAAGTGGTATGTCAATTCCATATCAAGAGAGAAGCTTGCTGAGTTCAATCAGTTTGTCCAAACTCTTCCAGCCAGCATGTCTTTCCAAACAAGCTTGGCGCCACTACCCATTCACCACCTTCTTCCACAACTGCAAGAGAGACACCTGAGGACATCAAAGAGCTTTTTGAGAAAGCTAAAGTTCAGCCTACCTTCAAGACCCTCTACAAGATTGAAGACCCAGGTCAATTCTCTATTCCCTGTCAAGTAAATGGTCATTACTTTGATAGAACACTATGCGATTCTGGCTCTTGCATAAACCTCATGCCAACCCAAACCGCCAAACTCCTTGGCATCACACGCTTGCAACCTGCTCAAATTAGTATTGGACTTGCTAACCATACTATAGCCAAGCCAAGAGGAGTTGTTGTTGATGTTCTTCTAGAGATTGGAGATATCAAGATCCCGGTGGACTTTCATGTCATGAACATTCAAGGAGGATGTGACACACCATTGATACTAGGCCGACCCTTTTTGGCCACTGCTGGAGCTGTCATGGACCTTCCAAACCGGCGAATGTCCTTAGCCAATGTTGACAAGACAGTCTTTTACAAGACCATACCATTCATCTCACCAAACAAGCTGTCTTACCTCATCACTGCCCAAGGCCGCCCAAGAGAGCCACCAGACCACACTCAAGGTCACAATGAGACAAGAACTAAAAGACTATGTCTCAGGCCGTGCCCTTACCCCATCTCCAACTAAGAGATCCTATCAGTCAAGCTAATGACTCAAAAGAAGCGCTGCATGGGAGGCAACCCATGAAAGGTGTTTTTCTTTACTTTTCTTTTCAATTAGTTTTAGTTAATGTCTAGTTTTGTTTTGAGATTTGGAAACAGGAATCTAAGAACCACACAATGGTAAAGAAGATATACCACAAAGAAGAATGTTCATAGTTGGCGCGACTTAGATGGCCGAGCAGAACCTCTCCACGCTCGCCCATGTCCTCTCAAGCCGCCCAACACACCATCCCATCTCATTCCATCTGCATCTCACCCATCCCACCTCACCACACTTGCATTCCATCACTACCATCATTCCACTGCATTCACCATTCTTCAAGTAACAACCAAATCAGGTTACATCTTTCTTTTTACATTCACAACCACTTTATTACCTCTTTCTTTAACTCCCTTAATTGGATTTTCTTTCACCGGGACGGTGCAAGTTAAGTCTGGGGGGATTGTCGGTACTAATGTGTTTGTTCATGGTTGTTTTGATCTTATAACTTTTTAACCCACTTCTGTTTTATTGAGTCAAAACCAGTCCGGGAACAATGAACTTGCTTTGAGATTTGATAGCTTACCAATCATGACCCTAGAGCTTGTGACATCAGGCGAAGGCACAAGCCTAACAGAAGCTCCTAGAGTGGATCACCTAGCTCAGCGAAATTTCTAAGGTAACCAAGCAATCTAGAGTTAACCTCACCCTTAATCAATCTTAATAACTCTTGTCAAGGGGATTGGCATACATGTCGACAGTTCCTTGCTTGATTTTCAATGAGATTGTCTAAAGAGTTCATCCTCTCTCCCATCCCAAAAGAAAGATCAAAAGCTCAAAGAGCACAAGGAAAACAAGTAAGCATGAGGAATGCATATGTCTGTACCTTCATGTCTTATGGAATACCTTATCAAACAAGGAGGAAGCTCAAGACATTATCAAGAGAAATCTTGTGGGAAGGAAATCAATAGAAAAAATAAAATGATACCCTAGAAAAGTAGGGAAAATTGACCTTCAAAGTTCTGATAAGAGAGAAGGAGAGAGGTTTGGTACTGAATGACTCAAAGAATCTTGGCAAAGACTTGGATGGGTAAGAATCAATGTGATCAATACTCCCTTGATAAAGACCACACTTTAAATACTGCAAGAGTTAGCAATAGAGAGTTTGGATACTGGATGAGA